AATCAATGATGTGACCAAACTGACCCTACGTGAGTTGCTATGGATTGAGCCTTTAGGCTTACAGGCTTATTTGACAGTCTATCCAATGTGGCATTTCCCTGTGTCCCCCTGTGTCCTCCTGTGTCCCCCCGTGTCCTCCTGTGTCCTCATATAAGCTGAAACTCTTAATTCTTACCCGTCAGCAAACGCCCCCCTCCTTACTAAAGCCATGTGTGACAGAGACTCTGACATCAGTTCCGATCTCCATAGTGACGGCCTGTCTCCTCGAGTTGTCATGGTTACGTGGAAAGGCATCAATTAAGCCGTGAAACTTCCGGCTCTCCTCCTCACAGACCTGTGTGCCAGAGAAAGCATCTGCATCTGAAACCTGCTGGAGCCCAGAGCCCACAGTAGCAGACTGTTTACATCAGACACCAGCAGACTGCAGGGAGAACATACCTGCCTTACTGTACTGCAGGCAGTCTACGCAGATTAGACTCTCTGGATAGACCAATCACCTATTAGCAGACTCCATCAGACTTCAGATTCATTCAGTAGGTCCAGCCACTGATGTGGAGGCATAATTTGATAACTAGAAGCAAATAAATGTTACATTGAGTGGGGTCCAAAAGTCTGAGTCCCCTCACCAAGAACCTTTCATCTGATCACTTATCACAATTATTTGTCCAAGTATATTTATAGGAATTCTCCTTCATTAATAGTTACTGATAAAAGTCACTGAAAGCCAAAATGACTAATGACACTCAGACACACTATTTACGTCACTATTGACATCAATTCTGCAAGTTTCAACCATAACAGTACCTAACCCTCTATTGCACGGTGTTGCCAAATGGCAACAATTACTTTAACTCAATTTACTAAAAGGCAGTAATAAAAAAATCTGTGTTTTGCTATTTAATTGTGGAAAAAGGGTCTTTTACTTTGAAAGGACAAATATTTTACAAATACTTTACATACTTTACAAATACATGACCAGGGAATCTTATTATAGTGTTATAATTACCATACATTCCAAATACCAATTGATTTTATTACTTTCCAATATTTGCAAATATTGGGTCAGTATAAGTTGGATTTGTTTAGTCTTGTTTTCAATAAAATGATGAAATGATTTTTTATAGATAAAATTAAAATTATAGATAAAATTAGATTTTATGGTGCTTTTATTTTTTAGATTTTATGGTGCTTTCCACAATTGCACATTGTTGCCATATGGCAACAATTTTCCAACTACACCCCTTTAGTAAATAATAATAATAATAATAATAATAATAATGTTTTTCAAAATATTTCCATTATTTAATCAATTTTAAATAACAAAAACACATCAAAACATTTTTATCATGTCTAAGTAATAATTCATGCAATAGAAGGTTAAATACTTCATAGTGGACTTTTACTAGCCACTTCTTGTATTTACACTCATTGTCCATTTTATCAGCTCCACTTACTATATAGGTGCACTTTGCAGTTCTACAATTACAGACTGTAGTCCATCTGATTCTCTGCATACTTTATTACCCTGTTCTATCATTGGTCAGGACCCCCACAGGACCCCCACAGAGCAGGGACTATTTGGGTGGTGGATCATTCTCAGCACTGCAGTAATACTGATGTGGTGGTGGTGTGTTAGTGTGTGTTGTGCTGGTCTGAGTGGATCAGACACAGCAGTGCTGCTGGAGTTTTTAAACACCTCAATGTTTCTGCTGGACTGAGAACCAAACACATCCAGCCAACAGCGTCCTGTGGGCAGCGTCCTGTGACCACTGATGAAGGACTAGAGGATGACCAACACAAAATGTGCAGCAGCAGATGAGCTATCGTCTCTGACTTTACATCTACAAGGTGGACTGATGAGGTAGGAGTGTCTAATAGAGTGGACAGTGAGTGGACACAGTGTTTAAAAACTCCAGCAGCACTGCTGTGTCTGATCCACTCAGACCAGCGCAACACACACTAACACACCACCACCACATCAGTGTTACTGCAGTACTGAGAATGATCCACCACTCAAATAATATCTGCTCTGTGGTGGTCCTGCGGGGGTCCTGACCTTCGAAGAACAGGCTAACAAAGTATGCAGAGAAACAGATGGGCTACAGTCTGTAACTGTAGAACTACAAAGTGCACCTATATAGTAAGTGGAGCTGATAAAATGGACAATGAGCGTAGAAACAAGGAGGTGGTTTTAACGAGCTGGACAAGTTGTCCTTTTTTCATCATCAGGAAAAAAAACAGAAAAACATTTAATTGAAAATTACACAGAAGGCACAGTTTCTCTAAGAAATCTGCAGACACACCTCCAAAGTTCAGTCTTAGAAGCTGGTTGATTATTTTCTGAAGTAATCAAACACATTCAGTGATGTTGAGGTCTGGACTCTGGGGTGGTCAGTCCATTGTTCAGCTTCTTTGTTTGGTGTGTCCGTCTCCTTTTCTCAGTGAGGTTCTTCTTGATCAGCTACACATCCTTTCAGACCCACAGCGCTGAGTCGTCTTCTCACAGTGGAAGGATGGACAGAAACACCTGTGGATGTTTTCAGATCTGAAGCAGCTTGATTTTCTCCTCTCTCTCAGAGATGAAAGCTTTAAGTGCTGTTTATCTGATGGGGGCAGTTTTGGGGTCTACCAGGTCTTCCAGGTGGTTGTTAGGAGCCCCATTTTCTCTGTAGCTTCCCTCCTTTCTTATGCAAGTGGACCTAATCTCAACCACATCTCCTAAAAAATGAATAATTCGTACTTAACAGCCGTTTTGGCTGGAAATTACGCAACTGAAGAGACCGGTGGTCTCTGACGTGCACAGATAAATGGAGGGATGGAGAGAGATGGAGGTATAGATGGAGAGCGCGAGACAGATACACTTGCATATATACACAAGTATAAATAGCCTATACACACATACACATACACATATATACGTAATCGCATCCAGCCTATAGAACGAGGAGGACTCGCGCGCTCACTCCTCCTCCTCTCAGTCTCCCTCTCCTGGTCGTTCAGCACCGCGCGCAGCTGAACAGCGGCATGGCGCCCAGCAGCAGGGCGGCGGAGGTGCGCGAGCGGCTTCGTTCCTGAAAAACACCGCGTTCTTCTCTCTCTTCTCTCCCCGGCAGGGTCTCATTAAAGTCCCCCGCGAGCTCCAGACCACCCTCGCCGCAGATCGGACCGGTGACAGCGTATCCTCCCTCTCCTCTTCCCCGCTCCTCTCCGCCGACCGCCGAATCGCTGAACGTGCTCCGGTCCGCCGGTGTTCGGCTCCGCTGCACCGCTGAAGACATGAATCTGTATTTGTTGTTGGAGCTTTTGTTGTCGCGAGAGGCGATCGCGAGGGCTTCGGAGATGTGAGGAAACACACGGAATTCCTTTCAAGCGTTTAAAGCACCGTGCACATCTGCTTCATGCACGTGAAGGTGGCGGCAGGCTGTGTGGCTACCTTTGGGTCACCTGTAGCTACTGACCCGTGCGCGCTCGCGCTTTGGGAGAACGGACAAAAAGCAACGTAGCAGTGACTCCGAGAAGCATTTATCCACAGTGACTCCCATTTCATTTATTTTATAAAAAAGCTCTCCCAAAGCAGCTGTCTAGAACCCCCTGTCCTGCCCCTTATTGAGCAAGCCGAGGTTGACAGTGGTTGGAAAAACTCCCCAAGTGCATGAGGAAGAACCACTGAAAGGAACCAAGAATCAGAAGGAGAAACTCCCTGAGAACATGAGGAAGAACCACTGAGGAACCAAGAATCAGAAGGAGAAACTCCCTGAGAACATGAGGAAGAACCACTGAGGAACCAAGACTCAGAAGGAGAGACTCCCTAAAAATGTGAAGAGGAACCACTGAGGAACCAAGACTCAGCAGGTGAAATTCCCTGAGGAAAAAACACTGAAAGGAACCAAGACTCAGAAGGAGAAAATCCCCAAAAGCATGAAGAAGAACCACTTAGAGGGAGCATAACTCAAATGGAGAAACTTCCTAAGAGGACGAGGAAGAACCTCTGAGGAACCAAGACTCAAAAAGAAAGGCTCTCAAAGAGGATGAGGAAGAACCTCTGAGGAACCAGGACTCCCTAAGACAATGAGGAAAAATTACTGAAAATGACCAACACGCAAAATGAGAAGAATCCCCAAAAGCATGAGAAAGAACCACTGACGAACTAAGATTCAGTAGGAAAAACTCCCTATACCCATGAGGAAGAACCACTAAAAAGAACCAACACCCAAAAAAAAATCCCCAAAAGCATGAGAAAGAACCACTGAGAGGGAACCAGACTCAAAAGGAGAAGCTCTCTGAGGACAAGACTTAGAAGGAGAACCTCCCTAAAAGCATGAGGAAGCACCAATGAGAGAAACCAAAGCTCAAAAAAAAAAACTCCGTAAGGTCATTAGGACAAAGCATTGAGAAGAACCAAGACTCAAAAGGAGAAACTTTCCAAGATCATGAGGAAGAACCACTGACAGGAACCATGACTCAAAAGGAAAAGCTCCTAAAGATCATGAGGAAGAGCCACTAAGAGGAACCAAGACTCAAAAGGAAAGGCTCTTGAAGAGCATGAGGAAGAGCCACTAAGAGGAACCAAGACTCAAAAGAAAAGGCTCTTGAAGAGCATGAGTAAGAATCACTGAGAGGAACCAAGGATCAAAAAAGGAATCAAGAGACGAAAACCTTGACGAACATGAGGAAGAACCACTGAGAAGAACCAAGCCTCAAAAAGAAAAACTCCCAAAGAACTTGAGAAAGAACCACTGAGAAGAACCTAGACCTACAAGAAAAACCTCCATGGGAGTTTGAAGAAGAACCACGGAGGAACCAAGACTGAAAAGGAAAGGCTCTTAGGGAGCATGAAGACGAATCACTAAGAGTAACCAAGAATCACAAGAGGCAAAACTCTCAAAGACCTTTAGGAAGAACCACTGAGAGGAACCTGGACTGAAAAAGGAGAACTCGTCCTCCTCAGATTGACTCCTCCTCAGAATGACATCAGGCTGATTCGGTTCCACTGGCCCATGTGAAAGCAATCCAAACCCCTTGTCCACCATGGGCTGCATCCACAGCATCGCGTGCAAGTCCCGCGTTAAGCGTGAAAACATCGTGGTGTATGATGTCACCGCCACCATTGACCGCGGCCCCACAGCCATCGAAGAAAACTCGCCCATAGTGCTGCGTTACAAGACGCCCTATTTCAAAGCCTCGGCCCGGGTGGTGATGCCCCCCATCCCACGGAACGAGACCTGGGTGGTGGGGTGGATACAGGCATGCACTCACATGCAGTTCCACAACACCTACGGAGCCATTGGAATGTGAGTTGGTCATTTAAGCCTGCATTAAAGTCAGTTTTTATAGAGGGTGGTATGTTGTACAGTATTAGAAACAGTATTATCACATATACAAGATTGCTTGAAGGGGAATTCCACCAATTTTTTCAAAATTCCTGCTGAAATGGTTAATTCATTCTCATTCAGAGTGGTTTGGTGTGAAATGTTCAGATCTAGAGAAACTTACTGAGTCTGAACTGCTCACAGTGTTGGTGATAGGAACCAGACGTCCGAAGTCTTTAATGACTCTAAAAGCTCCTTCACAGACAGCGGTCATTTGAAATGGTTATGAATATGCTGCTTGATTTCGGAGACGTTATTTTACGATAGTTAAAATATTACATAAACAAAAAAGAAACAAATAAATAATTGGCCACTTAAAACAGTCCAAAAAAAACACCCATCAGGATCAAAATCTGCCATGAAAATTGACGATTGGTACATCTGTGCTACAGAATCTTTCAGAGGATAGTTCTTTGAAGAACCATTCTTACAAACAATATGTATGTGTGAGGAACCTTTTTTTAAGGTTTAAAAGAACCTTCACATAATGTAATGATTCTATACTAATGTAATGTTTTTTCCTAGAACCGTACATCAAATTCTATACATCTGAGAACTGTTTATACTTTTATTTTGGAACTAAGATGAAGCTTCAATGTAATCCTCCAGGGTCTGACGCCTAAGAGCCTGTTTCACAAAATGTATGAGATGTGAGGTCTGACTGAGGTTGTAGGCGAGACTCGTGTTTTTTTTCTTATGAATGGGATCTTTCCTGCGTTTTTGCGTGCATGAAAGGCTCGGGTGCAATTGTGTGGGACGACAGTCCGTAATTATCAAGTACAGTACTTTGTATTCATTGTGCATGTCTATGTATCACTGTAGCACCTGGAGCTCTGTGCATCTGAGCCTTTGCTGGCCTGCGAGCCGTCCTGCTCTTCCATTTAGACACCCACACGAAAGCGAATGATTTCACACCCTTTGTCGCTGGATCAGGACAGAATAATAGTGCAAGCAAAGACTGAACGGCAGCTCTGAAGCTGAGGTGAGGGTGTGGAGCATAGGTGAGGCCAAGGGGAATGCAGTCAAACTCCTTCACAGATAGAGAAACAGATAGACAACCAGGGAAGAGATAGGCAGCGAGAGAGAGAGAGAGAGAGAGAGAGAGAGAGAGAGAGAGAGAGAGAGACAGAGAGAGAGAGAGAAAGAGAGAGATTCTCACACCCTCCCACAGTCCTACTGCCTGGTCGGGTTCCTGTGCCGCTCCCCGCAGGGTCTGTTCATGTGGAGGTGTGTGTGGACATGTGTGTGTTGGTGTGGAGGTGTGTGTGGACATGTGTGTGGGGGAGTGGAGTCCTGGTGCTCCTGGGGAGGTTGGGGGGGGGTGCATGTGGGTGGCAGATGGACCAGATTTGGTGAAGAGACGGCAGAATCGGGTCGCACCAACTGACACTTTCTGCAATAATAATGTTCCTCTCATAGTGAATCATTTAACACATGCAGCTGGGCTATTATAATGCATATATGCATTACGAGACGTTCCCATTATTACTCTGCCTGTTTAAATTACAAATGACTCGTAGATTCAGCATCACTGTGTCTCAGTCTGAGTACTCTGGTAGTGTCCCAGGCAAGCAGGCCTGCACAAAGACATGGCTGAGCCCCTGAAAAATTCTGTTGCCTACCTAAAGACATGAGGTCAGGATTTAGGGACTTTTTGTTTTCTTATAAATGTATGCTTGGACCAGCTGCCCCCATTTGTCAGTCTGTCTTTGAGAGACTGCTGGTATGCACAATATAGTTTATCCACTTTAGGTGATGGAATTGATTAACTGACTGATTGTTTCTCAACATTTATCTATAATACAATAGAATCTTTATTCTTATTATACTCAGGTACAATGAAATTTTGTGGGGTATCTCTCTTATAGAAACAGGAATAATAAATAATACAAAAAAAAAATACAAGGAGCAATAATAGCAGCAAATGCCTAAAGTGACACTGTGCAAAACTACAAAAAACAATTTACAAACACTATTAGGTAGTTAGCAAAGTTCTATTATGTGCCTTTGGGTACATTTGGCAATTTAATAAACATGGAACAAGACTACTGAACTGAACAAATGCTTGATTTAGTGTGTAAACTGACCAGAGGTGGCAAAAGTACATACGTTCCTTACTCAAACAAAATAATCTGGTAAAAAAAAACACTCTTAAGTTTTTTTACTGAAGTAAAATCATAGAAGTACATGATAGACGTGGTTAAAGCTGCACTATGTAAGATTTGGGGATTTGGTGACCTCTCTGGTGAAAATGTGTAATTGGGCGCAACATGCTAAAGAGTATTATGTAACATGAGTTGTGCTTTGGATCCCTTCGGATGAATCTAAAGTTTGTGAGTGGGTTAAAAGAGTTTTGAACTGGAACTCATTCAGGATTGGAGGATGCGAGTGAATTATCTATTATCATCTGTATAATGTTTTTCATAATTTTGCACCTAAACATCGAGCTGGACCTTTTTTTTGAGTCTGTTTACGTGTGACGTTAATATATTAAGTTGTATAACCTGGTTCAAATATTCCTATTATATTATTCCTGTTATTATTTGCCTGTTCTCCCCATGTCTGTGTGGGTTTCCTCCCACAATCCAAAGACATGCAGTCAGGCCAATTGGACGCCCTAGGTGTGTGTGAATGTGTATGTCTGCCCTGCGATGGACTGGCGACCTGTCCAGGGTGTATCCTGCCTTCCGCCCAATGACAGCTGGGATAGGCTCCAGCACCCCACCGCGACCCAGAAGGATAAGCGGTTTAGATGATGGATGGATGGATTCCTATTATATCTGGCCTGACATCTCTGACTTTAAATTATTTTAGGCTTTACAGCAGCACATGCTCAAATATCTTATACATAGTGCAGCTTTAAACTAGAAAAGTATTTATTTAAAAATCATTTCCAATTCAATTTTTGAAACAAGCATTTTTTTATTGAGTGTTAATTAGATGCATAAGGCAGGTCCATGGATTCATGTTGTTGGCATCAAAATCTGACCCTATTATCTATCATCAGGCCACGCTACACTTTTCCCATCTTCAAGGTTCGATGTGTGGTGCATTCTTAGATGCTTTTCTGCTCAGCACAATTGTACAGAGTGGTTATCTGAGTTATTGCAGCCTTTCTGTCAGCTCGAATTAGTCTGGCCATTCTCCATTGACTTCTCTCATCAAATCAATCCCATCCGTAGAACTGAAATGCCTTCTTGATTATTCAGTATTTATTTATTGCACCATTCTAAATAAACTCTACAGCTGTTGTGGGTGAAAATCCCAAGAGATCACCAGCAGAAATGCTCAAACCAGCCCATCTGGCACCACAATCAAGCCACAGTTAAAATCACTGAGATAACATTTTGGTCACACTTTATTTGGATGGTCCCCTATAGATGCTCTACAGAGACTTAAATCATTAACAAACTTCCTGGTGATGTTCAGTTGATTATCAACAACGTTATGGTTAGGGTTAGGGTCAGGAGTAGATGTAGGTTTTACCTTGAGGTTAAGGTGAGGGTTAGGTTTAGGGTTAGGTTTAGATTTGATATATTCTTTCACACTAAACTTGAAAAAGTTCAGTTGAATTTAATGGATATTTAGTTCAATGTTACTTAAAGGCCAATCAAACATTTACAAAGCACCTAGAGTGGACCGTCCAAGTAACACTTAACTTCACAGTCCGTTGGATTTAATGGCTATTTAGTTTAATGTTACTTAAAGATATACTGAACATTTACAAAGAATCTAAAGTGGACCATCCAAATAAAGTGTTACGGGTGTTACCAATAAAGTGCTTGGTGAGTGTATATACTCGCACACACATATATCACATATTAGAACCCACCTGGGACACCATAGCATGGCCTAACACCTTAGCAACCACCTGGGATACCACAGCAACATCCTAGCAACATCTTATCAACCACCTGGGATTCCATAGAAATGGCTTTGTCAAGCCAACTTTAACAAACTTTCCCCTTCTACTTCAATGTAAATGCATTAAAATAAATATGAATATTACATATGTACATACATATTGTCAGATACACATTATCTCCCTCTTTTTCTAAACTCACCTCACCAAAAAAAAATTGTTAATGCATATTTTCTGTACATAATGAACTACAAACAAGGAATGTCTATAAAAAAGCCATTTGTTGAGTTCCCCTTTAAAGTGTATCTATCAAGCATGTTTGAAACTTGCTGACTTTAAAATTTAAAGATTGCATTTTTACTGGGGACGTATTCTAAAAGCATTCTCCCAAAAATGTAAGAAAGTATCCGTATTTGAACTCATCAAAATGGCCAAAATGGCCAAAAATGATTTTGTCCTTTGTTGCCCCCCACAGGTCAAGCTGGGAGATCCCAGAGCTGAGGGACAATGTGGTGAGAGCCATCAGCGACTCAGATGGAGTGAGCTACCCATGGTACGGCAACACCACGGAAACGGTGACACTCTCGGGTCCGATGGCCAAACCGTCACGCTTCACCGTCAGCATGAATGACAACTTCTACCCGAGCGTGACGTGGGCGGTGCCAGTGAGCGAGAGCAACGCACCACGGCTCACATACATCACACGGGACCAGAGCTTCACCACGTGGCTAGTGGCGCTGAACGCGGCCACACGAGAGAAGATCCTCCTGCAGACAGTCAAGTGGAGGATGAGAGTGGAAATCGCCGTTGATCCCAACATGCCTCTGGGCTCCAGGGCCAGGTTGGTGGGACCGCCCCACCAGGACCAGCCCAAGGTTCTGACCCACATGGAGCCCATCCCTCCCAACGCCCTGGGAAAACCCAATGCCAACGATGCCCAGGTCCTCATGTGGCGGCCTAAAAGGGGGACTCCACTGGTCGTGATCCCCTCAAAGTAGAGAGGTCAGGGAAGACCAGATGTAGAAAGAGAGGTCCTTTTTCATTGGGGTTGTTTTTGACTTTACCCACAGTCCAAAGGAATGGGAGCAAGGAGTAAATTAGGACTGATGGTACATTCAGACGGTCCTTGTCGACTCATAAAGACGGAAAAAATGTCACATGATATAATGGCAACTACCAGCTGTTTGCGTTTGGGTGGTCAGCTGTGTTGCCATAGAATGAGAGGATGAGATGCCCAATAGTAATGAGCCATTTAAAGCCAATTTCTTAAACTCGGAATTTCACAAGTTTACAGTTTCATGAGGATTCTCCAAATGTACTACCTTGGGTGGAGAGAGGAGTCACTGGGTTGATTTTGACTCTTTCAGGAATACAAAACAGGCCATAAATATGGAAGCAAGCAGCGATTTTCCCTAAAGAAATCAGCTCGTTCCAAAACATCTGTTGCAAAGGACCACTTGCCTTAATTCCACACTACTGCCTTTGTTTGGATGGATGAGGGGTCAGCGTGGCACGGAGAATGCAACACATCTGCCTTAAAACCAGTTCTGGACTGGAGAACCAGAGACAAAGACCAAGAAAAAAATGAGATTCAACGTGAAGAATAATCAGTCTGAGTTTCGGCTCGTGCTGTGGCTACAACTCAGCATCTTCAGCAACTATGACTACGAGCTTTTTACGTGTTTTTATTTATGTATTTATTTTTTAAACTGATTGCTTTTAAAGAAAGGGATTTGTTTTGTATAGAAGTCACACGTCTGCAGGAAGGAAACCTGCTTTGAGAAGAGAGATGGGAAGCAGGACAGTGTTAGATACAGATGTCTTTATATACAGCAGTGAAATGAAGCCGAAGCTCTTACGACACAATCAGTGTGTTTTTTCATCCAGTCAGACTTTGATATGGTGTATGAGAGGGAGGAAGGACCTGCTGTTAGAGGGGAGACAGGTGTTTGTGTTCAGATCCACAAAACCCAAGCCGAAGCTTTAGACTCCAGGCAGAGCGATTATTCCTGAGAAGGAATTCTGCTGTCAGTGAGGGTAGAGAGAGCTGGAGAAGTGAGCAGCTTAAAAACTACTTTTTTTGTAATTAAGTCAGTTTAGACAATTTACCAACAACACAACCTGTTAGTTACAATTTAGTTTAACCAAAGCACTGTGTTCCAGAATATTTCAGGCCCTTTTCACAGGAAACGGAAGTGCATAAATGCTGGGTAAAACAAGTTCCGCTGTTGCCTTACAGGCAGTTATAAACCTCAGAAATACAGGCGTTCATATCACTTCAGCTCACCACAGAACGGTGTCTCACTTGGTCATAGTTGCCAAGATTGGAATTGGAGGATGTGTCCAGAATGGTTGGAGAACCAAACATACAACAATGTGGAAGTCCAGACTAAATAAAGGATGTAAATGCTTTGTGGAAAAATCCCTTCACAGCTATCAGAGCACAGTAAGGTCAGCGAACGTCTACAGAGTGATAAATCGATGGAGATATAACCAAAATAGATTGGCCATGTTAGCTGGGGGTGTTGAAACAGCTAACAATGAACTAGAAAGCGAAAAAGCTAAACACATACATTCTGGCAGAGGGGCGTGTCGGGTCATCATGGTCCGTAGCGCCACTGTAGACGTTGTACACAAACACAGGCCACAGTTAATTAACGTCTACTCCCCGCTGAGCACTCGCTCGCTCAGATACCGACAGCTTTTGAGGGAGAAAATAAAAACTGTTCCTCTGAAAGCGGCTGCAGCAGCAACTTTAAAGCTCGAACCGCACCTTAATGTTAGTCAGCAGCGGTGAAATGATGCTTATTTTCCTCTGTATGACAAAGTTTATTCCTTTATTAACTGCATAAACTTTTTCCTCTGCTAATCGTCAGCTGAGAAACCACTGAAACTGAGATGAGGCTGTTTTTGCTCCAAACTCAAACACTTGAGTGAGCTGTAAACACTCTACTCATCATTATTGTTACTGTTATTGGTTTTAGCAGAAGCAGCGTTACCCTGCAACGACTACTTCCTGCAGAAAAAAATGCGGAAATGTGAAAAGGGCCTAGTGATGTAGACCTTCTTTACTCTTTGTTGAGAACAGTCCCTTACATTGAGCAGTATTTAAGGGTAAATCCATCTTTTTTTTAAATTTCTGCATAATTAACTGGTTGAGATGTAAACAGAGCCATTCAGAGTGGTTTGGTGTGAAACGCTCTGTTCTAGAGAAACTTACACAGTCAGAATTGTTCACAGTGGTGGTGATAGGAAGTTAAATGCCTCTAAAAGCTCCCTCACACAAATATATTAAATTAAATGGTTATTAATACACTGCCTGATGTCTGAGTCACTGATTTAAAATAGTCATGAGATGAAGTTTTGGTGCAAAACATATTTTTATAAGCTGTTCATGATGAACAGGTGCATGTAAGTCATTGCAAGGTAAAACTATTTTTACAGTGATCAACATTACATATAAACACTCAGAAGACTCGCGCAGGGGCACTGGTGGTTTTGGACAGTAAATAAAATGGCTATATTTGTGTTGTTGACATCATGACTCCTGGTTCCCATCACCACCACTGTAAAGAAATTGGTAAGTTTCTTAACAATTAAATATTTGACATCAACCCACTCTGAATGACTTTGTTAACAACTGTTTAATTATGGAGACATTTTGAAAAAATAGAAAAAAAGTCATCCAGAGTGGTTTGATGTGAAACGGTTCATTGTAGAGAAACATGCTGGCTCAAATCTCTTTACAGTGGTGGTGATAGGAACCAGGGGTCGCAATATCTGCAACACATATATAGCCATTTTATCTACTATCTGACACGCCAGTGAACCTACATGTGAGTTTTTAGTATATTATTATATATGTAATATAATATAATATAACATAATATAATATAATATGTTATATTATGCAGATAAAGGTAAAATAGTGGTAAATCTGGAAAAAAAAACTCTATGAGGGAGCTTTTAGAGGTCGAATTCCCATCCCCACTGTGAACAATTCTGACTCGGTAAGTTTCTCTAGAACCAAGCATTTCACACCAAACCACTCTGAATAACTTTGTTTACATCTCAACCATTTAATTATGCAGATATTTTGAGGAATCTGTGGAATTCCTTTTCAACATTAGCCCTAAATTAGATGTTCATGTTTATTTAAGCTACTGTATCTTCAAAAAGTGTGATCTATAAAGCTCCATGCCATCCAAACTGAGTATTGAACTACGCTGAAGAAGATAGTTCAGTAAATAATTCAATCAGTTTAAATGAGCATTATCTTCTTAAAGCCAAGCACACACGGTCAGAGCGCCAGACGGGTTCGCCAGACAGCAGATGCTGGTCCTGCAGGTCAGATGCTGCCCGGAGAGATTTAGTAGATGAAAGTGCTTCTGAACTGAAGGAGGAAACTGTAGCTACTTCACAGACTGGGTGACGAGACACGGCAGAGGGAGATCATCAGAGTGTGGAAACAGAGAGGTGTGTTGAGCCGTTTTAAGACACTTCTTAAGTGTTTAAAAAATGGTAAGGCAGTTAAACATTCTTTTTTTGGAGCATATGGGTCATTCTACTGAAACGTCCACTTTTCTGTCATATCCATACGAGTCACTGGTGTTACTGGTTCTCATTGGTGTTACACATAAGAAAGGTAATACCAGAGACATTTTTAATGAACAATGCATTTTACAAAATGGCTGCTACAGAGCATCAAACCACATGTTGTCAATCATGGAACATCCACTAAAATATGTAATTTAATCCATTTCTATTCTATTTTTTCACAATTACCTCAGAATAAAGTCGGTCACACCAGTGACTTCAGCTAAAAGCTTCATATGAAATCATGAGCTAAATGAGAAAATCTCTGATAACTGAAAGACACAGTGGACTCACCATGTGCTTTTCTTCATAGATCCTCAGAAAACAGGTAAAAGGAAGTCAAGTGATGTCATCAGTGTGATTTTTATTTCAAAATAAGAGATTTTTTGCTACACAGTAACACCAGTGATACGACTCCTGGGGACAACTTTCATTATATATTTAATAATATATATTTGGCATTTGTTTTCTTTGTCATTTAAATCATATATTTCATAGTCACATATAGATTATTGTAGATACAATTGTAGAAAAACGTTTTTTTTTCCCTTCAAAATATGGCCTCACCCTTTACACATGACTGTGAGGACGAGCTCTTCCATGGTGCTTGGAATTGATTTAAAAACTAATATTGCTAAATTGAGGCTCAAGAAGGTGTAATTGTTAAAATAACTTTGCTTTATTTTAAAATATAAATAAATTGTAACCCTAAAGTTTTTCAAATGTAATATATCTGTAAACGCTAGGGACACAAAAATGGACGTTTCTGTAGAATGGCCCATATATACACCCTGCTGGTCCTGTGAAAATACAGCTGAACTACTTTATACAGCTGTTGTCATCACAGGTGGCCTTCAAAGACTTAAAGGAATTGACCCCTGGAGATATCAGTCTGTTGTCCACGTCATGAGCATCTCAGGAACTCTGGGTCTAAGCAGACGTGTCTATGAGAAAAATGAATGGCATTTTTCAAAAAATTGCAGCTGCCACATCCTGTGGTAAACGTAAATATTCCAAACCTGGCACATGTTGTTCTGTGTACATCCCCTCTCCCAACTCTGTGAGTGAACTACAATGTTGTTCAGTAGTGAAAATACAAATAGTGGTCACAAGCAAGCTCTCCTGCGCACTGAAATGACACTGTAAGAGTAAGTCTAGCATTAAACCAATCAGGCATAACATTATGACCACCTCCTTGTTTCTACGCTCATTGTCCATTTTATCAGCTCCACTTACTATATAGGTGCACTTTGTACTTCTACAGTTACAGACTGTAGTCCATCTGTTTCTCTGCATACTTTGTTAGCCCCCTTTTACCCTGTTCTTCAGTGGTCAGGACCCCCATAGAGCAGGTACTATTTGGGTGGTGGATCATTCTCAGTACTGCCGTAACACTGACATGGTGGTGGTGTGTTAGTGTGTTGTGCTGGTACGAGTGGATCAGACACAGCAGTGCTGCTGGAGTTTTTAAACACTGTGTCCACTCACTGTCCACTCTGTTAGACACTCCTACCTTGTCAGTCCACCTTGTAGATGTAATGTCAGAGACGATAGCTCATCTGCTGCTGCACAGTTTGTGTCGGTCATCCTCTAGTCCTTCATCAGTGGACACAGGACGCTGTTGGCTGGATATTTTTGGTTGGTGGACTGTTCTCAGTCCAGCAGTGACACTGAGGTGTTTAAAAACTCCAGCAGCACTGCTGTGTCTGATCCACTCAGACCAGCGCAACACACACTAACACACCCATTGATATTTGATTGTCCATAAGAGTTAATAAATGGATATTCAGATAACGGCAAAGAAGAAAAAAAAAAAATAATTAGTGCATGGCTGTAGGTTTAAACTTTAGACTATAGCACTGAAGGTTAAAACTTGAAAGCACATTTCATGGTTCAAAAACAGCCCATGGGAAATTAGTAGGTTTTCATGTTGGATTAGTGAGGCTGCCTCTTCGGATGGGCTAACAGAGCTAGTCAGTACAGTGCTGGACGTAGATTAGGACCCATCTTTTTCTATGTGATGTCTTTTCTCCTCAGTGAATGATAATCCAGCAGTTAGTTTGTCAGAGGAAACATATTTTCACTGTTCATAAAGCTGCTGGAGTAGTTAGCCTAGTTAGCGCCACACTCTCTTCCTTCTCAGTCACATCCCCACCCATGCATTCTCGGTACTTTGCCCACATTTGGGCGCTCATGCCTTTAAGTAGCAAAGTATAAAATACTTAATATTTAGAAAACTACATTTTCAGTCATATTAAAGCATAAAATCAGCATCCCCCTGAACTGTTAGCCTGTCCACCTTCTCTGTCCTCCAGTGAAAACATTCACTTGAATAGTAATACTTAACTGACTCTTAACTACCTGTGAATATCCTTTAGAATACGGAAATCTATCCATTATTTAAAAAAAAAATTATACATAATTGCATGGTTGAGATGTAAACAAAGTCATTAAGAGTGGTTTAGTGTAAAACACTCCACTCCAGAGAAACTTACAATCAGAACTGTTCATAGTGGTGGTGATGGGAACCAGACGTCTGAAGAGTTTTAGCCTCTGAATGCTCCCTCACAGAAAGCTATAAAATAAAATGGATAGATATACACGGCCTGATGTCTGACACATTGTTTTGTGATAGCTTTGTGATAAAGTTTTGGCTTAAAATGTATTTTAATCGTTTTATTTTATTCCGTCGATGGTGAAGAGATACATGCAGGGTGTTGTGAGGCAAAATAGTCCCCAGTGAAAACTTTTTTTTTTCAGATTTATGACAATTTTACATCATCAACATTATATATAAAAACTCAGAACACATGTAGGTTCACTGGCAGTTTTGGATGGTAAATGAAACGGCTATATTTGTACTGTGGTCATGGCGACCTCTGGCTCCTATCACCACCACTGTAAAGATATCAGAGTCTATAAGTTTCTCGTCAGTGCACCATTTCTCATTAAATCACTCTAAATGACTGATTACTTTGAGGACTGAAAACTTCAGAACATTTTAATTCTCCTTTAATACCAGCTACTCAAACTGTAGCCCACTAATATCAAAGCAACCAAACTACCATGTTTGACAATGCTTGCTGGTTTGTGTAGTTTGATGCGTCTTCAGGTTATGATGTCAGTTCAGTGCGCAGCAGCGTTAGCTTGCATGTAGCAACATTCTTACACTGATGTGCCAAAGGTCATGAGGCAGGAACATGCCGTCTGGATAGCCACCCACAGCTTTGTGGTGTTTGTAGGCGCAGGATCTCGGGTGTGAACGGACCTCTCCGCCACCTCCTGTAAACACTCAGTTGGGCTCATGTCGGCCAAAACAGCAGGCCACGCAGTTTGTCGGAACTCTCCAGAATGCTCCTCGAACCAATTATGGACAACTGGGGCTGGACGGCACAGTGCATTATCTTGCTGGAATATCCCATCATTGTGGGGGTACATGAAGTCCTTGAAGTGCTGCATATGGTCACCAGTCAATGATGTATTTAGGAGAACCAGTGGACCCAACCCATGCCATGAGAACACACCCCACACCAGTATGGAACCACCACCAGCCTGCACAGTGCCTTGATGACAACTGGGGTCCACGGCTTCATGGGGTCTGTGCCATAAACCCTACCATCAGCGCGAAATAACTGTTACTGTGACTCATCGGGCCACGCCACATGTTGCCAGTCCTCTAAGGTCCAGTAAGCAACCTCACAAGCCCAGGTGAGGCGCTGTGTCCAGTGTCGTGGTGTTAACAGAGACACTCTGGAGGGTCTTCTGCTCCCATATCCTATGAAAGCTTGTAATTGAGAGGATTCTGTGACACTTGGAGAGAACATGCAAATGTATCAACTTTGGGAACAGTTTTATCACACGGCAAAACAGAACCAATTTTTAAAAACACCATTTATTTTTCCCTACAGAGTAAATCTGCTTAGACCTGGAGTTCCTAATGAGGGCATGACTCTGCCTGCAGAATGATGACGACGTCAGAGGGCTATAGTTCAGCCAAACATTGCAGATCATCATGACTGACAGCTGGTGGAGACCAGTCAGCATGATGTCATTTACACTGTGCTTACTGGTCCCCGTGCGTTTTCAGCTGCCATCAGCAGTGACGGCACTGTGGTATGAACTACACCTTTAAATGTATGTGCAGTAAAACTTGTGCACAGGATGCACACAAAATTACCTTCTCCACTACAGGGGCAACATGAACGGTCACTTTTGTAAAGACTGTTTACAATGTTGGTGAACATTGTCATTTTCTCTGAGCTCTTGAAGCATCTTGGACAAATGTCTTCAGGAGTAAATGTTTAAAAGAAATAAAAACGAAGTTAAGGAAAGCTGCCTCCAGCGCCTCCTGCTGTGGACAACAGGTCGTTACTACATAATTAGTGACCACAATAATGAGGAGGTATGAACAGGTTGCTCATGAAAGGGCTTTAAGTCCTTGTCTTTTTCCTAGTCATGTTAGCCACGCTGGAAGGGGAATTCCACAGATTTTTCAAACTTTCTGCATAGTTCAATCACTGAGAAACAGTCAGTCAGAGTGGGTTGATGTGAAATGGTTCACTGTTGAGAAACCGATTGACTCAGACTTCTTTACAGTGGTGGTGATAGGAACCAGGGGTCACCATGTCTACAACACACATACAGCCATTTTATTTACTGTACAAAATGACCAGTGGACATACACCTGATGTCCGAGTTTTCATATGTAATGCTGATGATGGCAAAACAGTGGTAAACCTGAAAAAATGTTTTCTTTGGGGACTATTTTGCCTCATATCGCCCTGCATGTATCCCTCTGCCAGTAATTTATTTTAAAAATATACATTTTATACACTTAATCATACAACAGTTTCTTTAGGCTTTAGGCAGCATATTCATAACCATTTTATGTTCTGCGAGGGAGCTTTTAGAGGTATAAAACTCTTCAGACGTCTGGTTCCCATCACCACCACTGTAAACTATTCTGACTTAGTAAGTTTCTCTAGTGTGGAGCATTTCACACCAAACCACTCTGAATGACGTTATGATTAAATTAGGCTGAAATTCTGAAAGATTGGTGGAATTCCCCTTTAAGGGACTGCACTAGAAAGTGTTACCACAATGTGTTGAATCCTGGAACTGAGGTACATAATTACTACCACTACTTCTGTAAATAGGTGCTAGAAACTATTTCACTTAAAAATGACCTTTGAACAGGTTTCGGGCCTGCGGGTTCTGAGGTTCCACATGAAACGTTGTCTGTTCTCAGAAATTTAAAATTAGAATTTTAGTTGAGATAGAGGGGTGGGTTGAAGTGTTAGGGCTACATGGCCCTCCAAACAGAGGTTTTTCAGAGACTCCAAACAGAGAGTTATGAGAAAAAAGAGAAAAACCAGCAAGATGGCTGAACAAGAGACCAAAGAAACCCACAAATGTGAGAATTTTCTCTGTTAAAAATTACGATAATCACTGTATTATCTTAGTTTAATGTCGTTTCAGTGTATTATGGTCCTTTTCTTCATAACAAGCATGAAAAAAAACTAACAGTAGCTAATGTCTCAGTAATTAGCTAGCTAAATTTCCTGTTCCACCTTAAGTAGACCAGTACTGACACCTGAATTGCCAGAATGTAAATGCTGCACCATTTAAGATGGAACAGAGATGGATCACTGAAGAATTAGGGGTGGGCGTTAACAGGCAGTTGCCCCTGCCCCCTTTTAAAGCATATGATGCCCTAAATGTAACTAAAGCCCAGCAGTGAGGAGCTGAACTTTACCTTCCTCTGCTGTCACTGCAGACTGGCAGGGTCGCCTACAGAGCAGCGCTGGTAGCTGTTAATGAAGTAATGTTCTTTTTATTTGAGGGTCCCATTTTATAGGGAAGATTTCAACCACTACCACTTTAAACTCAGTACCAAGGGAGAAGGTGACACTCGAAAACAAGGGGTAGGGATACAAATAAGAAATGGGATTGGGCCATCGTTTCAAAGGTAGGACCTTGAGGCGTACTCTCGAACGTACCACTGATTTTTTTTTTATTTTTAAAACGGCTTCAGAATGTGTTTTAAAACAAAAATGAATTCCCAGAGTATGAATCAGATCTAAAATAAAATCACACTTACTAACAAAAATAAAAATCCCACTTCCATTTTTAAAAGGAATTTTACTGGCCTGACATTAGTCACACAGCTGGTCACATGATTGTCACGTGAACAGAACAGAAAGTGGCATGTCAATGAGGCCACCACGCAAACGCAAATGGCCACTTTCTTCCCGTCTACATAAACACCCCATACATCCTAATAAGATTTAATATTAATCTCTTATAATATTTCTTCAAGTTTTAGTAGAACATTCGACTCATTGTATCTTTAATGTCCAGGGTGCACAGGCTTTCTTCGAGGGTGAATAGCTCGTTGACACTTTTGAGAGATCACAACTGAGGACTGATATGGCTGGAGAACAGGTGACCTATTCAGAACCGAGGCAGTTAATCAGTGACAGAAGCCCAAAACAAGCCTCAGAGTTGAAAATGAACTCAACTGTCTCTGAGTGTTAGACCTCAGACAATGTATGCTGCTCCTGGCAGCTCATCTTGTTTGTGTCCATCAAGTATTTTGAATTCATATGACGTAAATACGCTTGTAATTCTGGCTCCTTTGGCTGACCAAAGTCCCTCTCTTTGCCCACAGTAGGGCCTACTAGTGTCTGTTTTCTCTCAAGCTAAATGAGCCATTTCATGGTAACACAGGGACCTGTTTATACACCTTCACTTCTCTCCCATCTCTCTCGCGCTCTTCCTCCTCATTCCATCATTCCTTCGACCTTTCCGTCTTCCTCTCGTTTACGTTCAGGTCCCTCCGCTCCTGGGTTTCCTGCTTTGTTAGTTATGCTCGGCTGGGGTTGGACGCTGGCTTGCTCTCGTAGCCATACAGAAACGTCGCAACTATGACCAAGATGGCTCCTAGGAAGAAGATGCTACAGAGAGAAATCGCAGGACAAGTCAGGTCACACTCTGTCAGCACAAAATCACTAGCTAGGTAGCATTAGCTACCAGGGAGCCTATACAAAATAATAAATACAAAATGCATGCAAATCAAGTTTTTTGTTGATGTTCTGAGTGAAAATAAGCTACACATCCTCAACAGAACTTAAATACAGCATTTTTCTGCATATTTATCTTGTGCACATAAAATGTGCCATTACTTTTGCACAGACCACATTTTATGTTATCTTTGTCCCCTGTATGTTAAATTCAGCTAACAGTTATTGTACATTAAAATGTGCAGGTCTGTGTTCTCTGTAGAGGATGTGTTCACTTACTTTCACTTTCATTGGTCCACTATAGGACCTTATATTATTTGGGTGGGGGATCACACTGTGTTGCCCTGGTACAAGCGTATCAGTCACAGCAGTTTATATCCAGCCGGCGGCCTCCTGTGACCAAAATCTGACCACTGATGAAAGACTAGAATGACTATCAAAGAACTAGAATGACTATCAAAAACTGTACAGCATCAGACGACCTACCGTCTCTGACTTTATATCTACTAAATCAGGGCTCATCAACATGCGGCTCTTCTACTGCCCTGTTGTGGCTCCACAGCAGAATCAGATTTGTGGGTAAAAATAAAATAATCCTCCTTTACAGTAAAATAAAGCTCTGCTGATCGTTCAACACAGTTTAACAATAAATGGTCTTAAACGCTGGAGTTAATGTAGAACTGCTAATTCACCCTTTAACCCTGAAGGTTGGCGCCCAGACTGCTGGTCACCATAGCAACGTAGACAATCTCGCCTAGCTAGTAGCTAATGAAACGGCAAAGAAAGAGATTTAAGATGAACATCAACAATTTGGAGACGAACTGACTTGCGTTTATAAATCACTCCAGCTGCTTTCCTGATACGTTTGATCCACAATGAGAAGCTGTCAAACACTAAAAAGTCACGAGGCTGAAGTGAGATTCTCATTTGCCACCTTTTTGTCCAAATTTTCCCGTTCCACCTTAAATGGTGCAACAGTTACACTCTGGCACCTCAGGCAGCCTAATTAGCACGGAAAAAATCTAAAGTTGAGAGACATTTTACAAGAAACTGTTCTACTTTTGCGTAAAAGTTTCCTGCCAGAGATGTGAGAAAAGCAGCTATAGCTGAGCTAAAGCTTAAAGCAGAGCAAAGTAAGTCTGTGTTTATATTGAATTTGTTAGCCTATATTAGTACATCAGCACATACTGAGACATGTTTACAGCCAAGATGGTAAAATGGACATAAAATGTTGTGGCTCCCAAGGTGGTCAGATTTTTTTGCTGCAAGGACAAAATGGCTCATCTTAACATTTGGGTTGCCGACCCCTGGACTAGGTGGACCAACAAGGTAGGTGTGTCAAATGGAGTGGATAGTAAGTGGACACTAGCTGCACTGATCCATTAGTGCCGGAGCAACACATACTAACACCACCACCATGTCAGTATCACTGCAGCACCGAGAACAATCCATCAGTGGTCCTGTGGTGTAAAGGTTGTGACAGTTTGTGTATCAACAGATTAGCGACAGTCCGTAACTGTAAGCCTACAAAATGCATCTATAATGGTTCACCTCATTAAATGGTCTAGGAGTAAAGAGTGTTTTCCATCTGAAGTGTCTGTTATATTAACTAGTTCTGTATATTTTCTCTACAAATGATCAAATTGTTACACTATGTGGTGAAACGTGGTTGGTGGTCAACAAGGTCAGAGTAAGGTTTTGGCTTAACGTTACAGTTAGGGTTAGAGTGAGTGTGAGCTTTAGGGTTTGGTCGAAGGTGAGTTGAATTCATGAGATTTTTCACTGAATGTCCATTAAAGTTAATGTGAACATCTACAGTAGAACATCAAAATGATGTGTTAACAACTGTTGAAGCAACCCATTGTACTGTAAGATACATATATCATCCTCTAAACTAGTGGTCAACAATCCATCCTCTGGAGATCTACTTTCCTTCCACATACCAACATCCCACCAATCAAGCACTTCTGCGGCCGTATCTTCTTAAGAACAATTCCAAGAACAAGTGGTATTCTTGAAAATATTGGGCCTCATTCTCCAGCAAGTTTTTTCTTAAATGTGTTCTTGAGAAAGGTGCCAAGAAAAAGTCTACGTCAGATTCAAGAGGTGATCTTAAACCACAGAACTGTTCACACCTTTGTGCTCTTGAGTGTGTGTAGATTCTGTTCTTACCTAAGAACAAATCCCAGATAAGAAAACACTGGAGAATGTCAATCTTTGTGAAAACTACATAAGTGGATTTTAAGAAGAAATTTCTTCTTAAAAACGATTGATGAATGAGGCCCATTGTTCTTAAATGTTTTCTTAATCTTGCAATGGCCTCAGTCTTGTCTTAGTCTGTAAGAGTTGACAAGGTCAGCATCTAAATTGATCACGGACGCTCCTCTGCTGCTCCGGCTCATCCTCGTCCGTCATCCGTCATTTTTCAATGAGGATTTTTTCTCCTATTTTCCTTCAACCATCACCTCTTATTGCTAAAACTGAATGCTTGGTTTGATGTTTTTCTGCCATTTTGCTCCTCTGAGCAGATTAAACTAAATAACAGAAAAAAACAGTTAATACTAATTCTACATGCATCTTGCATCGTTTATGGTAGGTGGTAAAATGCGAACATTAAAAACAAGGAAGATTTTCTTCAGAAATCTTAAGAAAATAATTAAGTCTCTCTTACAAGAATTTGAGAACTTTACATTTTTTTTCAAGAAATGAATTTAAGAACATTCTTATTAACTTCTTGGTGTCTGTCTTAGGAACGTTTGCAGGTTTTTTCTTAAGAAACCTCTGTAATTCCGGCCCCTGGAGACATGAATTAGACGCTGGGGCAGGCGAGGAAAAGTGGTTGAGACTAAACTCTACAAAAATATAGATTTCCAAGAACAGGGCTGTTGACCGCTGCTTTGCACCATGGGTGCCCAACCATGCTTTTGATGTTCCATCTCTAACTTAACCTGGACATACTGATTAGGTAAACCTGAACACTTTTATTATACTGGGGTTTATGTATGTTCGTACCTTGTAGGCTCAAAGTCCTGCAGCCAGAAGTAGGAAATGAGTGTGGACAGGATGATGGAAAGTGAGGTGGCGAAGCCTTTAAGAATATTGTCTGCATACTTTATAACAGCAGCTATGACCAGGCCTCCCAGAGCCTGCAGAGAAACACACACATTTAAGTCCTCAAAACAACAACCAACACTCTTCAAACACGTTAACATCACGGTTAGCTTGCTACATATTGGTCAGAAGAGCTGACAAGCAAGAGGAGCCAGTTCACTGTGTGTGTGTGAGCGTGAGGGCTGGATCATTTGGCCATAATTCTTACAATTATATATTTTTCCAAATTATTTCACATCAATAATTATGACACATTTATTGCAATATTAAAAGGGAATTCTGCTAATTTTTCAAAATTGGATTTTTTTTGTAATTTTCTTTTTATTGGGGAAAGTCAAGCAAAAGAGCAAAAAAAGAAAATACAAAATTCACATTATATCAAACAATTGTAACAGTACTTCAATTAGCACCACAATTATGACCATAATGACACTGATCTAATAACAATAATAAACATTTTAATAATACTGTCAATATCAATAACAATATATTATAAAGGGAGAAAAGGGGGGGCGGGGCATTACCAATTAAAAGCACTAAACTTTCCCTTAAAATTAGCTCCTTCAAAACTATTTACATTACAAAAGGGGGAGTGTATTCTTTGATAGAGAGGAGAGGAAACAAAAAGGTAGGTCATACAAAACCTACACAAGTTCTGGTTGCCGAGGTCTTATATACACGAGCCACTTAGACCAAATCTGACAGAATTTGTCTGAATTCTTAAGGAATAAGTCAGTTTTTCCATAATATAAATTTCATGAACAATGTCATACCAGCCAATTAAATGAGGGGTCTCAACAGCCCAAAATTGGAATAAAAAAATAAATAATAAAAAAAAGTAATAATTTTAGTTTTTTTAAATTGCCCAGTCCTGCTGGGTATATCCAGCCTCACCTGTAAGGAAACCACAGCCCAGGTGATGGAGTTGTAGCCCTGGAACATTCCGTGCTCTCGTACTCTCTCTCCATCATACAGCAGCATCCCAAACAGGCCAAAAACCAGACCGAACATACCTGTAGCACAAAGAGGAGACATGAGACTTCAGTGCCTCTCAGTATCTAGGAACCCTACACACTGCAGAGGTCAGAGCGACAGTTGGTTTATAAAATAACACAAAAAAAAACCAAAAAAAAAAAACAGAAAATGTCAAATCAAAACTGGGGAAAAAAAGCTTCAAGATGGCTACTAGTACTGATTTTATCCATTTTTATAGACAGCTAAATAAGCTACATCAGCCTCGTAGTCAAAGCAAAACTAAAGAAGCAAACTTCAAACTCCAAACACATCTTTTGTGCTTTTGCCAAAACATTAAAACATCACTGTAACTTTTTCTGGCTTCAACAGACCAGATTTAACTGAAGCTATTTGTTAAATACATTACATAATGAAGCAGAGGAAGGTACAAAGACACTGAGTGTCAGGTCAGTCATGAATTGGATGTGGTATCAATCACAAAAAGCCTGGAAAAGGCCAAAAAACATGCTGCTTACAGCCGATTACAATTCTGCTCCTCAAGAATTTGTCTGTTCATACTTCTCACTCAATTAATGAACTTATGAGCTGATTAAAATGTATTTAATTTACAAATTATATGTTGGCAGTATTCAAACTGAATTAGCTACTATTCCAAATATTATTATTATTATTATTATTATATTATTGATATGACATCAACGACCATTTTGATGATTTAACCACAAAGTGTTAAAACATTCTGCTCACATTTACGTGCACTGCAACCAGACGAAGAAGAGAAGGACATCTGTGACCATTTAACATGAGAAATGAAATTCTTACACAAATTCACCATGAAATGCAACCACATTGAGTGTTTCTACTGAGAACCTCCTTCATCTCCTTCTCTCTCTTATCTGTACTGAAATCACTGCTCAGGTTAGAGGCACAATTCACTCAAATCACAAACCATGAGGGCGTGCTTAGGAGACAACAAACACACCCGTACAGACGCATCTTCAAGCATTTTTGGATGACAATTAACTCATTCGTGTCGAGGCGTGGCTGTGAGATTTGAACATGTGTCAGACTTCAGTCCTCGCGGGCCAAAACACTGCAGACTTCATCACACTGCCTCATTAAACACACCTGATTCAGCTCATCAGCTCATTAGCAAGACCTTCATGAACTGAATTCAGAGCGTCAGATGAGGGTAAACGCTAAACTCCACAGCACTTTGGCCTGGAAGGTCCCCAGTTTGGCATGTCTGCATTAGAGTAATGACAGTTCAGCTGAGGAGAAAACGTGGTTGCTGAAACAATAAGTGTGTGTGTGTGTGTGTGCGTGTGCGTGTGTGTGTGTATTATTATGGACCGAGCCACAGCTAGACTTAATAAGGCGGAGAGGCTGCCACAATTCAGAACTGGTCAAACGCTATTGCTTCTGTCAAGGCCTCGTAGGGCCAGAGTGATTTTAATATTTCACTTAAATTTCATCGCTTCGATTGCTGGTCTACAGGTGTGATGCAGATACTATCATAACACACAAAAAAATTTGTGTTTTAATGTGTGACAGTCTAAACATGTCTGTGTGTTATCAAATCCAATAAATATTCATTAGCAAAATGTGTTTATTAGTTTATTTATTTATTTATTTATTTTTTAACAATGCTAGCATTGCTTTCCAACTTTTGGTCATTAGAGTAAACAGTCACATGCAAAAGTTTGGACATCCTCTGTTCAAATTATGTTTCACTGACAAAAACAAGTTAACAAATCCTATATACACTGCACATTTACTGCTGAATTTAGCATATTAAAAAAAATAATTTTATATTTTGTGTTTATTTCCAATATGTTAAATTCAGCAAATAAATAGAAATAGAGCAAAACTTATTCTCTCTCAAAAAGTGTAAATTTGACCAGAGGTGTTCAAACTTCAGCATACAACTGTATAACACTAAAGTTATTTATCCGATGCCCAACATGAACGTGAGGCCTACACCGTGCATCAGCATGCGTTTTCAGGTTCAGGTTAATCAGGTTACAGTCATATTTCACTTGACCACATTAAAAAGTCAGAGGTGTTCGGATTATGATCCGATCACTCAAACTTCATCTGGAGGTGGTCAGACAGATCTTGACCATAGTCGACACAAGAGTGAAAGGAAAGCGTTTTCTACAGTACTGTGTAGGCCTTTCAGAAATATTACAAAACAGACAAACAAAGTTCAGGACCTCTCCTCAACGCCTCAGCTGTCACACTGATTTGATAAGTTCCATCACCAGCACACCTGATTTAACATAAGTACTGATTAGCCAAACTAGGTACTGGATTATAACTGTAACTAATACTATATTATTATTACTTGTATTTATTCTGATAGTGTTTTTATGAGCAAATCATTTCTTACTGCCCGGTTAAGCTTCTTAAGGTGCCAAAAACTGCACCGGTACTGCACATCTGCATTCAACTGCACAAGCAGAAATGCATCAGCCACGCGTTGACAAGAATTTGAGAAGTTAAACGAAGGAAACGCAGGATGAAGGATAACCAAGGCTGGAGTTAAAGCTAAGTGCCTTCTTGCGCTCTGAGCTAAGAAAGCATTCAAGTCATGCTTGTTGAGTTGCAATAAAACGTGGGCAGCATACAAGGAAGTAAGAGAGAAACAACGCGTGTGGTGCATTATGTGGGAAAGTGAAATCCGATCTCGTCTGGTCGCCCTGGAGACGCACCGTGAAAAGTGTAAATGGAATCAAGCCAAAGCACATCCAGACACGACCCAGAAATGAAGCACACGTTAACGCAAAGTGCAAACAGGCTCATGATGCATGCTTGACTACTTCGGGACCAGAATACACTGATCCAAAAGCAACGCGTACACACTTGTCGTTCAAACGTGGACAACAGAGCCTTTGAATGATGGACATCATCTGAGCACGAGAGGGCATTAAGCGCACATGAAGAAGACTGAAAGAAGTCAACTGACTTTAGTGTCTTGCACCGAAGCAGATTACGCGCATCACACGCTAAGATTAACTGCAAGAAACACTGGAGGAGCCGTTAACAATCAGATCACACCATACAAGATAAAAATAGACCTAACAGGAATAACTGTGACAGTGAGCTGTGTTAATTTAGAGAAGCACAAAGTGGAAAGAATATATGCTTTTTTTATATATGTGTGTGTGTGTGTGTGTGTGTGTGTGTGTGTGTGTGTGTGTGTGTGTGTGTGTGTGTGTATAAATATTTATAAAAAAATTTCTTGACGAATGGACCAAAAGAAACAACACAGAATTACTTGGGAAAAAATTCTGGGTCCATTAACGTACATTAAAAAGCAAAGAAGTTTTTTTCCTTCTCCTGTAAAGTTACCATTTTGGAGACATGAGATTTTGTTGGTCCCATAACCTGGATTGGTCGTGGGGGCACTGTACTGATGAACGCGTCACCAACTCACTCCACTGTTGCTGGTCGAGCGATTAGACCTGCGTTGCTGCAATGCTCTTCCCTGTCCATTCAGTTATGTTGTCTGCCTATGTTTTCCTTTGTCTGCCTCGCCTCCTTTTCCCTGAAGGATGGTCTTCAAGATCCCCGCAGATCTTGTCACATGGCCATACGACCTCATTTTCCTTTTCTTCATTGTGGTGAGCAGGTCTTCGTATTGCCCAACATGTTGTCTGATGGTCTCCCTGATTGCTTCGTTTGGTATGCGGTCTTTATCAGAGATGCCAAGGATTCTTCTGAAATCTTATGTCGATTGCGTGGATTCTTCTCTGAAGGTCTGCTGTATGAGCCCATGATTCGCAAGCATACAGGAAAATTGATAGAACTAGTGCATGCAGCAGGTTTAACTTTTGAGGCTGATATTCCTGTCTCTCCTAATGGTCTTTAATCTGGACAGTGCTGTTGTAGTTTGTGCTGCTCTAGCCAGTATTTCCATCTTAGAACCTTCCTTACTGATATGGCACCAAGGTACTATATATATATATATATATATATATATATATATATATATATATATATATATATATATATATTATATATATATTATACCCAATATTTTCAAATCTACCACTATTTTACAATCATCATTACGTAAAACCTAGCCTATTTACCATAGTTCATACAACGGCTGTATACACACATGCACACGTACTCTTTTTTCGAGATTGACTGAGCTGATCTTCATCAAACAACAACAAATACTGTGCACTGCCGTTATAACAGCTACATAATCACAAAAAATGCTATTATTTAAGACCTTCAGCATCTTCCATCACAAGCACATGTGTGGCTACTGACCCAGCTGTATGTTCCTGACCCACACACTCTGCTTGGTCTCCTTCAGAATCTTCTCAAAGTAGACACCAGCGAAGCCGCTGGAGCAGCAGGCCACCAGCACGGCCACTAGCCCCACAAACGGTGAGCCGCCCGCAGGCTGCTCCTTCTCAGGGGTGCCTGGTGAGTCTGTGGGCCACTGCACAACACAAAGCAAACAGAAACTACTGTATTAAAACCACAACCAGGATTCTTTTTTTTTTTAATCTACATAATAAACACACTGTGAAAAGGTATATCTGAGAAAATGACACGTGAAGCTATTAATCTGTGCAAAACGTTGTATCAATCTGAGCAGATATATGTAAAGTCAGCATCACAAAAACAATGAATTCAAAACATGTCCATCTATGGACTGGACGCATTGAAACATTAACACTGTTTACGTTATTCATCACTATTATTCTAAATTAAGTGAGGGAAATTAGATTTTCCACAATATGGGTCTTTTAAAGAAACAACCAAATATAAAGGCCTGAATACACAGACATAGAAATGCATACAACACAAACCTGAACAAGCGCCACGCCAGCCATCAGGATGAGCAATGAGAGCCACTGGTACAGACCCAGCCTGCGACCCAGCATGGACACAGAGAAAAGTGCTGTGGTCAAGATCTTCAGCTGGTAGGTGACCTAAAAGAGAGGGATGAGCAAGTGAAAGTGAATCAAAGGAAAGAAGTACGGAGCAGTTCTTCTGAATGACAGTCCATCTGTTTTTCGATTATCTTATTACAAACATCGTTCTATTTGATTTGATATCTACTGGATTGAAAGAAACATGTTAGATGGGCAGGTGGATGTTTCTACAGACAGACAGACAGACAGACAGACAGACAGATGGATGGATGGATGAATGTACTTTCTGGTCCACCTTAAACTGCTGTGCCATTTAAGATGGAACAGAAATTCTGAATGAGACCCAAATAAGGAGGCAACTTTCGCATATCCAAGCAGGTTCAGGCTGGGTTTGGGTCACAAAGGTGGCAGAGCTTGGGCTTCAATTTCATGCCTGTGCAGGCACCTGTCAGCAATTAGTGAACCCTAAATTTCACTAAATAGGAGGGGCGTCTGAACACTTTTGGACAAGTAGTATAGCTGGAAGGAAAACCGCTTTCCTTTTCTTACCTGGTACGTAGCAGCGTCCAGGTTCGACAGTGCTACATACAGCAGGTTATTCTGCAGGGTGTAGATTCCTGAGGGAATGGCCAGTTTCAGCGTCTCTATGGGCTTGTGAAGGATCTCCTGCCTGAGGATGCTGCTAAGGGCACGGACGCTGTAACCTGATCAGGAAGGACAGGAACAGGACAGCACAACCAGTTAGATATAGAGTGTAAAAACACAGATTACAAACTTATACACCACTGATTCAAGGCTCTAGAAGACAACATGGAGAGACAACACAGTGACAAACAAGACCACTTGCTTCAACAACATTCCCCAAGATCTTTAGCAAGGACAACAGTGCATCACTGTGTACAAGAAGGCATCTCAAACGATGCATGGTGTAAATATTTGTGAAAGGGAAAGCGTCTGTGATAGTCATTCCCACGCTGGGTGAACTCACTGTGCTCTTTGCAGACGAGGCCAACGCAAGTGAGGATTTTCAGCAGCTCAGCCACCACCACGGCGGAGGAGGCCAGGTAGCGCGGCCCGTCGGACTGCAGGGTGCGCGAGTAGCGCATGGTCAGCACCAGAGAGGTGGTCTGGAACACCAGCACACCCAGAGACAGGTACTTCAGCCTGGCTGACGTCATGTCTGGAGCGAGGCTGTATGGATACAGGAAGAATAAGGGGATGTGAGAGGTGGTAGTAGAGATAATCAGGGCTGCATTTGATTGATTAGATTAATCATGCCTTCAGTGGCTCCTCTCCCTTAGCAATGATGCCACCAACATTCAAAGTGTCCTTATAACAAGTCATTTCTTATTTTATGGTGCAACGAAGCATCGTCCCTAAACGTTATTTTATCTACCAAGGTTTACACTTCGTTCATCTCACTTCAGACAAATCAACATTCAATATACACCGATCAGGCATAACATTATGACCTCCTTGTTTCTACGCTCATTGTCCATTTTATCAGCTCCACTTACTATATAGGTGCACTTTGTAGTTCTACAGTTACAGACTGTGGTCCATCTGTTTCTCTGCATACTTTGTTAGCCCTCTTTTACCCTGTTCTTCAGTGGTCAGGACCCCCATGGACCCTCACAGAGCAGGTACTGTTTGGGTGGTGGATCATTCTCAGCACTGCAGTGACACTGACGTGGTGGTGGTGTGCATGGGCAGAAGTGTATTCTCTGAATAGGATGTGATAACTTCTTTTCACTTATAAAATCTACAACATGTGTCATTTGATAAATGATGCCCAAACATTTACATAAGACTGTATATTATAGTGGCGATTCCAGTGTCTGTCTGGATGGGAATCACACCTCGCTCCCATGTGTGGAACATGTGTGTTATCCACTATGCTACCCACCTATTTCTGAACACTGAATCCACTGACCACCTTTAGTGTCAACAAAAATAATAATAAATGACGCCATCTTGTGGATGAACACAAATGGTTTCACCATTGGTAATCTATGAATCTGGCAATGCCTTTAAAGCTCCAAAGAACCTAAATCTGTGTTAAGTAGGTTCATCTTGCTCTTGTGGGCACAAAATATACACATACATAGTTCACTTCTCATTCTCCACTAAATAGCTGCTGTTTATGGCCACAATTCTCCTCTTTGGATGTGAACCAGGCAGTCACACGTATATAAGCAGCATCATCAGCATCATCAATTACAAGGCCGATGTGGTTTGTCATGCAAACTGTGTTACAGTCTCTTTGAGTTTGATCTGGAGAAAAACCCAGTGAAAAAGCTCTTGTGGGGTCAAAGTGCAATGTTTGTGGTGGGCCGAGGGCCAAAAAGATTAAACAATATACAAAGATATGTTTCAAATTGAGTTTTTATGAACCCAAACGTTAAGTAGAGCCATTCTGTCCTTTCAACAAACATAAAACCACCTTGGGAGCCACAATAATGTATGTCCATTTTACCATCTTGGCTAAAAACATGTGTCAGTATGTGCTAATGTGCTAGTATAGGCTAAATAATACAATATGAACAAAAACACAGACTTACTTTGCTCTGCTTTAAGCTTTAGCTCAGCTACAGCTGCTTTTCTCGCATCTCCAGCAGGAAACATTTCCAAAAGTAGAACAGTTTCTTGTAAAATGTCTCTTAATGTTTGATTTTTTACAAGGCTGAAGTCGCTTCTGATTCGCCAGCTTCTTATTTGAATGTTCCCATTCCACCTTAATAGGCGCCTGAGATGGCACACTGTAACTGCTCCACCATTTAAGGTGGAACGGGAAAATTAGAGAAAGAAACTGGTAAATGAGAAGCGACTTCAGCCTCACGACTTTTTATTGTTTGTCAGTTTCTCATTGCAGATTAAACATATCAGGAAACCAGCTGGAGTGATTATAAACACAAATAAGTCCATTCGTCTCCAAATTATCGATGTTCGTCTTAAATCTCTCTCTTTGCCGTTTCGTTAGCTACTAGCTAGGCGAAATTGTTGTCTGCGTCGCTATGGTGACCAGCAGTCTGCGCTGATCTTCAGGGTTAAAGGGTGAATTAGCAGTTCTACATTAACTCCAGAGTTTAAGACCATTTATTGTTAAACTGTGTTGAACGATCAGCAGAGCTTTATTTTACTGTAAAGGAGGATTATTTTATTTTTACCTACAAATCTGATTCTGCTGTGGAGCCACAACAGGGCAGTAAAAGAGCTGCATGTTGTCGACCGCTGCATCATTTTTATATCAAAATCAGTCTGAATGAGTGCTTTCAAATCACTAGAGCTGCAATATCGTACATTATTCAACATCGTTATTCCAGTTTTAAGTAGAGAAACCTAAAAACACAGAGCTCATAAATTGAAAGTCTGACAATAAAAGTACCATTCAAGCCTTAAGACCAAAATGTGGTTATCTTCATTAGACAAATAAAACTAAGTTGTATACTACATCTGGGAAGGCTTTACACTAGATGTTCGAACACTGCTGTGAGGATTTGACTGCATTCAGCCACAAGAGCATTACTGTGGTCAGGTACAAAGATACTGGACGGAGCTCCATCACTCCAGAGAATGCAGGACCACTGCTCCACAGCCCAAAGCTAGGGGGCTTTATATCCCTCTAGCCAAGGCTTGGGGTTGGACATGGTGACTTTACGCTCATATGTGGGTGGTCCAGAGTATCCCACTCTATTAGTAATGCTTTTCTATGGAGATTACACAAACTCTGAGTGTGCAGTTGAGCACCTGTGTCAGCACCTTAGAGTAACTGAATTCAGTTCTAATTAGAAGGGGTTTTTGGATACATTCGGATATACAGCTGTGGCTGATATTCTGGGCAGCCAGGAAAACTAGTAATCTGGACAGATTTGCCAAAACATATATAAACGTACACTGTTGTACTGCTGTAAATGCAAAAAAAAAAATAAAAACAAAATCCAGCAGTATTTCAAAGGATATTAATTTGCAAATAAATGCACTGCTTTATTTAACCACAAGTACACTCAACGTATATGCATCTGTGTGTTTCTCACAGTGAATTAATAAGGGGAGTCAGTGTAAAAAGCCAAAAATAATTTCCTCCGATTTCACAGTGTTGATAATGAGAACATTCTAGTCAGATCACTCAATGAGTCTGTCAGCACCTTTGTGGAACAAACTGGGGTCAACGCCTTTCAGCTGAGATAATAAAGTGAAATGAATCAGAGAATCTTCAGAGTGTTAACTCTTAAATAAAGTTCATGACTGTAGTCCAAAGTACATGAGAACAGCACTCCATTTACTTTGGGGATGCTGTTTCAGGCAAAAATGGGCCGAGAGTTAAAAAAGAGAGCTTTTTTTGTAATGAAACCTGCAGTTGGTCAGTGTTCAAGTATGACCGATACCCAGAAAAGCTTAGAAATGGGGGTGCAACAATTATTTGCCTTAGTCGAATAAAACTGATGACCAAATTAGTTGGCAACTAATTTAATAGTCAATTAGTTCACTATTGGAGAGTTGACAAAAGCATGATGGCAGCCTCAAGTAACTATTATTGTAACGAGTCTGTTCACTTTCCAAATGCGCTGTCTTAATGCCGAGGCCACAGGTGCGTTCAAATTTGGCGAACTTAGGCTACGTTCACCAGGTTGAAGTGGCACAAAATCTGATTTTTTGCCCTAATGTGACTCAGATCTGGTGTTTTTAGAGCTGTGTGGACACAAATCTGATCTTTTTAAATCCGACCTGATCCACTTTCATATGTGGTCCTAGATCGGATGCGTATCCGATTCGTGGCCATGAGACCTTAATGTGACGCTCAGATTGGAATTCATGTGCTTTTTCTCCACTGCGCGTGCACCATCATTCAGCGTTACCATGGCAGCAGCATCGAACAGACGTTAAAGCCTGTAAACGATGGAAAAGCAGCTCATCTCACCTTTTTCTCCTTCGTCTCGCTCTAATAATGAAGCTGAGAGCTGATCAGAGTTAATTATCTTCTCAGCGAAGCTCGTTCTGCTCGTTAGTTTGTGCTGATGATGAACGTGATTCATTCACGTGACGTTACTGAGTAGGATGAGCTCAAGAGGGTCATCGTTCACAATAATGACAGATTTGAATCACTTACCCAAACAAAGGTGAACCATCCTGTCAGAGATCGGATTTGAGCAATGAGGCTTGTAATGTGAACGTAGCCACAAACATTAATTTGCATTTATTTGCAAATTAAGATCCTTTGAAATGCTGCTGGATCTAGTTTTTATTTTTTTGCATCTACAGTACAACAGTGTGCATTTATACACCGATCAGGCATAACATTATGACCACCTCCTTGTTTCTACACTCATTGTTGAAAACAGTTTTCTGTTTTATGTGAGGGTTTGCCTCCACTAACAGTTTCAGGAGGTAGTTCTCAGACAGGGAAAAAGGACAGGGCAGCTGGACGAAGGGTTACCGTGAAATGAAATGTTTACCCAAAATCATTCAACTTTAACTGTTTGGAGAACAAGTTTGCCACTTTCCCATCCGCTCCATCAGAGCTCATCTTCTCTGCAGTGGGGAGTATCTGCTCTCGGAGGGGAGTGAGATGCTCACAAGAGCACACAGAGATGCTGACTTTCCTCCGTTTCAGTAAAGACCTGTGATTGTAGAATTTTGTTGCAAGAGTGTAGACAGTCAGCAGAACCCCAAAGCACAGACTGCACTGTTTAAATTTATTTATTTTTTTATTTACTCGATTAAAAACTAAAAAAAAACTAATTAGCTCTGTTATATTTTATTACTGTTACTCTGCACGTCCTTGATTTTAAATTTTGCATAAAACAACCTCAAGCTAAATTTAAAAGCTGATAGCTACATAACTCGGTAATTTAGTGATTCATAATCCGAATAATCAATTATTCGTTTCAATAATCAATGGATTATTCGACCATCAAATTAGTTGTTTGTTCCAGCCCTACTCAGAAAAGCACATTGTTTATCGCAGTAATAATATAAATCACCATAGCGATATAATTGTGTCACATATTGTAAAGTGCAAGAAGTATGTTGGAAACGGGCCCTTTACCCAGTCAAGGGTTCACCAGTGTGGTTTTAACTGCAAAGCACATGTTCACTGCAATGTAACTGTGGCATAATCACAACAAGCTATTCAGTCCATACTGTGCAGTGAGACGTGCTCGATAATCAAGTGTCAGCAATAAAAATATCAGGAGCCGTATTGCAGAAACTTCTTAAGTCTGAAATCCTCTCATCTGCTTAGTCACCATGACAACTTTAGTTAGGACTGAATTTAGGACAGAAGCCATTACAGAACAACTTAAGTTTATATTCTTATCATTAACTCTAGATAAGAAAACATCCTAACTAGACTAAACCTCCTAAATACTGTCTTAACTTTAAGATAAACCCCGGAGCGTCTTTACTTCTGTTTTAATCATCTGGTTGTATTGTTTTATATGGTGCTTTGACTTGTGAGGCTTTTTTTCTAACAACGTTTTAAAGCCCCAGACGCTGCAGACACGATCTCCACCGCCCCCTCTTATTACCTACATGTGTTTGTACTACACATATTATAGTATAATATGATCTCAGACTTAAATATGTGTAATATATAATATTACAGTGATTTTGGTGAATAATGAGGAGACAGAGCTGAATGTGTGTCTGTGTGTCTGGAGGAATAACGTTAGCGCGCTTTCTTTCTGAAGAATCTTATCTTGACCCGTCAGATCTTAAGGCAAAAAGACACCACGTTCTGTATTACAGAAATTTCTGAAGTCTGAGATCATATCTTACCTGCTTTGTTGTCATGGCAACTTCTCTATAATCGTATCTTATTTCCAGATAAGAAAACAGTATTACAGAAACATCTTAAGTTGCCAAGTTAAGATAAACCCCAGAGCATCTTAACTTCTGTTTTAACTGTCTGTTTTGAATGTTTTATGCAGTGATGGGCAGCACAGTTCACTATAACCAGCATAATGACGCTACATTCATCTACACTGAAAACGGTGCTTTGACAGCGTTTTTTTTAAGCACTCAGACGCTGCAGACATCTCCACCGTCAATCTTATTACCTTCAAGTGTTCATGTTGATGAAAACTTGTCAGATAAAATATTACAGTGATGGTGGTGAATAATGAGGAGGCAGAGCTTCCTATTAGGAGGAGTAACGTTAGCGCGCTCTGCTAAAGCGTTTGGGAAATGAAACTGAAACTGAGAGCGGCGACGCTCTGATAAACAGCACAAAGTTCTGAGACAATATTCTTAACTTTAGTCTTATTTGACCTTTTTAACTAACGTTAGCTGTCTGGCTAACTAACTTGATTACATGTTTACATTTCAACTGTGCACATATGGTCGGTTGCTAGGTAACAGAAAGTTAAGATTTCCTAACTTGAGATAAGAAAAGATGCTGTGAGATAAGATTCCTAAATCACGATAAGCTTCGCTTCTGTAATACAAATTTGTGAAAAATCTTATCTTGACCTCTCAGATCTTAAATCAAGACAAAAAGATAGGAGCCTTCTGTAATACAGCCCTGATGAAAGCTGTAGTACCTTTGCGAGAGGATTTTTTGCCAGCTGTTATTCTACTACAAGAAGAGTGTCTATGAAAACACTGCCTTCGCTCCAGCTTTGCGAACAGTCTCCACACTTAAAGGCGTTCACAGGCCCAAATGTACTCATTTGAACTCAATTTCACAACTGATGTTGAACTAGGAGGTGTAATTGCTTAAAGAGGCTGGAGAGGCTTTTAGTGTCACTTGCTTTAAAAGCATCCTCCAGGAATATATAACAAGTAGCCGACACAGTGCACTCAATACTGAGGCTGACAATTATAATAAGATGAAAGCTGAACGTCAACTTGAACTTTATACTGACTGTTTTCTTTCAAATTCGAACGTATTGCTCATTCACAGAGACATAACACAAACACTGGGTCTGAATTCACTGCGTAGACATCGCAAAAGCCACACAGGAAAATAGAGTGAAGCGCTTTTCCATCAACCTGGAAGACCAGCTGGTCGAAACACATTTTCTTTGTATGCTCTGTCTGGTAAAAGCCTTCAAAGTCTTCATTTTTTTACTGAAATACCTTTTAAAATTTATATAGTACCATTAACCACACAGCGCAAAAAAGTATATATACACACAGCAGGGGTCGGCAACCCGAATGTTAGGAAGAGTCGTTTTGTCCTTTCAACAAAAACCAAACCACCTCAGGAGCCTCAACATTTTATGTCCATTTCATTAAAGGTTTTACCATCTTGGCTGAAGATGTCTTAATATGTGCTAATGTCCTGGTATAGGATATATATAGGATTATAGGTAATATCAATAAAAACGCAGAATTTCTTTGCTCAGCTTTATGATTTCTTGTAAAATGTCTCTCTACGCTTTTTCCCCGAGGCTGAAGTCGCTTCTCATTCGCCAGCTTCTTGTTCTAATTCTCCCGTTCCAACTTAAATGAATGCAGCTGCTGCGTCATTTAAGGTGGAACGGGAGAATTCGAACAAGATATTAGCGAACGAGAAACTGACTTCAGCCTCACGACTTTTAGCGTTTGTCAGTTTCTCGTTGCAGATTAAACGTATCAGAAAAGCAGCTGGAGTGATTATAAACGCAAATAAGTCCATTCGTCTCCAAATAATCGATGTTCGTCTTAAATCTCTCTCTTTGTGCAAGATGTCTGCATTGCTGTGGTACCAGCAGTCTGTGCTGATCTTCAGGGTTAAAAAGGGTGAATTAGCAGTTCTACATTAACTCCAGTGTTTAAGACCATTTATTGTTAAACTGTGTTGAACGATCAGCAGAGCTTTATTTTACTGTAAAGGAGGATTATTTTATTTTTACCCACAAATCTGATTCTGCTGTGGAGCCACAACAGGGCAGTAAAAGAGCTGCATGCAGCCGACCCCTGACATACTGTGATGGGCAAAAGTTTGGATATGCTTTATTTCTGCAATTTCTAAAGCACAATTTCTAATGGTTTGCTGTATTTATTCAATATATTAGAAGCATAACATTAAAACGTGCCTTTTGTACATCTCTCCTTCTAAATATGTTAAATCCAGCAAATAAGCAGTAATTGTGCACAGCAATTTCACTTGAAATCAACATAACACTTGGCATCTGAACTTTAGCCTACAACTGTGTCTAACACTGCCAGGGAAAATGTGTAAAAAGCCCACTAAATAATACCGCTGGATTGTTATTGGACCCACCAACCAAGAAATGAAGAGCTCACTCACCTAAATGGAAATCAGAGCACATTAAAACCAGGCAGAACACACTGCTCAGCAAAGTAACGTAACCAGTTTAAAACAGCAAAACCTTGTAAACAGCTCAACCATCAGCTGCTAGTGAGACAGGCAGTTGAACTAGAGCTTTACTAGCAGCAACACGGAGAAGCAAATGAGGACAGAGAAGAAGGACCAGGATGTAAACCTCCCACTGACAGGAATATGACGACACTCCCAACGTTCCAGTAGCCCACAAAGAGAACTTTGAGCACTTATTACACAACACCTGCTGCGGTAGATCCTGTAAGCCAAGTCACAGACCTGTTACGCAGAGCAAAACCCTTTGTTTGAATGCCGGGAGGCCACGCCGGAATTGTGTCAAAGGCCATCCACACCCACTGTCAACTGGCCAAATCGCCAAATATTTTTTTCCATCATCTAGCATTGACACCAACATGCATGAATGTAAATGAAACATTTCTCAGTCTAATCAAGATAAAGTCAAAGCAATAGCTGGAACCAAAACAATCATCACTGAGAACAGCTTCAATTGTGAAATACACAACAACGACAGCAACCGGGCTGGATTAATTAATAACCATATTTTACAGACCTGGCGAGTGTGTACAGCAGGTTAAATGTCACTTGTGTTTATAAGCTCAGAGATGGTTTAATAAAGAGACCACCTCTGAAATGGTTCTCTAATACAGCTTGGAATAATGACTTTCATGTCCTGTTTGGTGCACTAAATGTCCACTATGAGGATCAATCTGCGACCTATAGACCCACATAGTGCACTACATTCCCAATGGGGAGACATTTGAGTTTCAATCGATGACCTATAGACCGAAATAGCGCACTACATTCCCAACAGGGAGATATTTGAGGTTCATTCTATGACCTATAGACCCAAAAATGCACTACATTCCCAAAGAGGAGATATTTGAGGTTTAATCTACAACCTATAGACCCAAATAGTACACTACATTCCCAATGGGGTGCAGTACATGTCCAACAGGGAGATATTTGAGGTTCAATCGACAACCTGTAGATCCAAACAGCGCACCACATTCCCAACAGGGAGATATTTGAGGTTCATTCTATGACTTATAGACCCAAAAAACGCACTACATTCCCAAAGAGGAGATATTTGAGGTTTAATCTACAACCTATAGACCGAAATAGCGCACTACATTCCCAACAGGGAGATATTTGAGGTTCATTCTATGACCTATAGACCCAAAAAAACACACTATATTCCCAAAGAGAAGATATCTGAGGTCTAATCTACGACCTATAGACCCAAATAGTACACTGCATTCCCAATAGGGTGCAGCACATGTCCAACAGGCAACCATTCAGGATTCACCATATGGCTCAGACACAATATACAGTACATTACATAGGGGGCAGTAGGGACTGACTCCTATATCCAAGTTAGTGCAGTAGGCAGCAAGTCTATGGCATCTAGACCTCAGTCAGTACCCAAAAAAGCAGGCAGTTGGGATTTGGGACACAGCCCATGGTTTATACACAAACAACAGTGCACTATATGACCAGTAAGGAGAGATTTGGGACTCAGTCTTCGACTCACCCTCAAAGGAGCGCAGAGATTTTGGGGAATCCGGAAGAAAGATGAGGATAAAAGAGACGCAGACGACAAAGGCGCCAAAAAGACGAATAAAAATAAATTAAACCGGAGAATACAGTAAAGTTCACGGCTGCAGGAGCTCAGCGCAGTGTAGCCTGTGGAGCTTCTCCGAGGCTGCAGGGCTGAGAGTGGATCTCCTGCTCCGGCTGCAGAGCTGAGCGACTGGAGAGGCTTTAAATATCACAATACACGCCTCCTTTCTCTTCCTCATTGCTCTCGCCTTCACGCTGATAACGTGCTGCATGAAACTGGCCGGTCTTTCTGGTCATTTTGCTCTGCTCACCATCTAAAAACCCGCAATTCTCAGCCTGGAGCTTTACCGTCTTGTGTGACTTCCTAGCTTTACTGTTTCCTCATTCAGGCTGGCTCACTGGCGCCAACTGCCGGCCTGGCGTGAGTACGACGTGTTTTTATAGTACAGTGAACTACACGTCAGTGTTTAACCCTTCTACAGTGACATCTTCTAAGCCGCTTATCCTTCTTGGTCGCAGGGGGAGCTGGAGCCTATCCCAGCAGTCATTGGGTGGAAGGCAGGACACACCCTGGACAGGTCACCAGTCCATCGCAGGGCCCCACTCATACAGACCTATGCAAAAGTTTTAGGCAGCCATGAAAATTGTTTTTTGCCAGTAAAAACACAATATAACACTAGTATAACGCTGCTGTCGGAACCTCATGTCTCCAAAATGGTAACTTTACAGGAGAAGGAAAAAACATGCTTTACTTTCAATGTAGGTCAATGGAACCAGACTTTTTTCAAGTCATTTTTGGGCCGTTTCTTTCAGTCCATCCAGTATGAAATTTAAACACAATGCAAAGGGCAACAAATTATGGCAAAAACTAAAAAATGTCAAAAAATATTGAGATACAAGGTTTTGTTCCGACAGCAGCGATAACTAGAAACAAGCATAAACGTTAATTTAGTAAAAAGTAACAAGGAATTTAGAAAGTTATTGATACACTATATGGCTAAAAGTATGTGGACACCTGACCATCACTGCTACATGAGCTTGCTGGACATCCCATTCCAAAACCATGGGCATTACTGTGGGGTTGAGTGGCGGCGTGCTTTACACCACTCCAGCCAACGCTTGGCATTGCACATAGTAATCTTGGGCTTGTGTGCAGCTGCTCGGCCACAGAAGCTCCTGACACACAGCTCGTGTTGATGTTGCTTCCAGTAGCAGTCCGGCACTCCAGAGTGCTGAGCTTTAGCACTTGGTGGTCCCACTCTGTGAGTTTGCGTGGTCTACCGCTTCGTGGCTTAGCCAGAGAACTTGCAGAGAGGAGAATTACCGCTCTGCAATGTCTTCCGGGTTTCTCAAACGCTAGAGGGCGCTCCCAGAGCGAGTCCAAAATGAATGGGTAAAGATGGAGCATTTGAGCAAAATCAAAGTTTCTAAATGTTTAAACATTTTTAACATAAAAGAATGCGATCATTTCCTGAACACTGAATATAATAAAAAATTTTAAAACCGCTGTTATATTTTTAAAAGCTTTTACACTCGAAATATAGGAGTTTAACCAATCCGATCCGATCGCCAGCCAATCAGCACTCACCAGCCGTAATGCTCACCTTCTGCTGCCCAAAACCTGTTTGCTGTAGAAAAACGGAAATATACAGGTGAGTTTTCTTTGCTTTTTTGGTGAAATCCATCCTTCTGCTTTCTAAAATTAAAGAAACGTTCTGGGAAAGTGATTAGAAACTATTTTAACTTTTTCGTTTTTAGCCGTTGAGCGCCATCTACTCCCATTCATTGAGGACTCCCTCTGGCGCCCTCTGCTGTTAGGCAGTCCTGTTTTTGATACAATGGGGGAAATAGGAAGTGGCCAGGCTCCTCATAAACTGGCTCTGGCTGAGCTGTTGTTGGTCCAAGATGCTTCCATGTTTGGCACTTACGGTTGACTGGGGCAGATCTAGCAGGGCAGAAATGTCTGACTGGCACACCATGGCAGTGCCACGTCACTGAGCTCTACAATTCATTCTACTGCCAATGTTTGTCTATGGAGATTTTATACACCTGTTAGAATTGGGTGTATTTCTGTAATCCTCCATCAAAATGTAATGACTGTGCACCTGTGGGTGGGGAAAGATAATATCAACCAATAATGATTCACCTCCCCTCCTAGAACCCCCACCTGTCATCAAGAGAAAACACTCAGATAGCTCAGAGACCCTCCTACAGAGCCCCGCTGGTGGCATCCTGCATAGATAAAAATAATGCATGGCCACAGCTTAGTAAGGCATGGGAACAGGACAATTAAGTTGTGGTTAGGACTTAGTAAAGCATGGGAACGAGATCCTAATGCATGGCCACGACTTAGTAAGGCATGATCTCATTACCTTGCCTTACTAAGTCGTGGCCACACTTTATTTTTATTTATATGGAATGTCACCAGCAGGGCTCTGGACTGTTCACTTGGAAAAAATGTGTTATGATTTCCAATCCATGTTGACTTTAGTGAAATATTAGCCAAACTATGTCATTAAATGCAAAGGAAATGCACATATTAAATGTTATTTATTAAATTAAATAAACCTATTTATGTTCAACAACTATATTTAATATCAAGAAACAGAACTAGTTCTGTCACTTTATGTAGTTCTACACTGGATAAACATCTAACAGTGAACATTTGAATTTATTTTTAATTATATATTCAAATGTTTACTGAAACTCACAATCAAATTTGCATGTTCTATTATTTTAATAAAACTGGTGGACCATGTGATCAGAAGACTGAATTTAATGATAAATTAACTCAGAAAAACTCACTTTTAAGCCACATGGTTTAATTTTTTGTCCGATTTGTTCTCAGGCTCAAAAAACATATGGGCATAGGGAAATTAATTGATATGAGGTATAAGTCGTTCACTGAAGCCCATACGCAAAACAGACATATCAAAGGAAATATATTTCCATATATTTTTCAGGTTTGTGAAATATTTCCATGTTTGACACCTGCAAATATTAAAAATGGTACAGTTAAATATATTTAGAGCATATACTTTAAAATATCAATAGTAAATACCGCTACGTTCTTCCTTGCATGTAGGAAAGTACTGAATATCTATAAAATTAAGCCCAAGAGTTACTGTCCAGATAATTCACTGCACATGCTCACTCCAATCCTTCATAAATACAATGTTTTATTATCATATTTAAAATAATAGGTTTGAATATGGTAAAGCATCATAAAAGCAGGACACAGTCTAATAGATCTGTAAAGCTTTGCCTTTATTGTGTACTTTTATCTCTAATGGCATTATGTGTATGTTTGGTTTGTTTCTGCTAGACACGTTTTTGTTCTTTATTCACAAAAAATCCTTCTACAGACAACATAAAAAGGCTACATACTTCATATAGCAACAACAGGGTGTATATTACGCGAACCGAGGAAAAGAAAGAACATGACGCATTAACAACCTATATACAGCACTTGTAAAAACAGCCTTGCATAACATTTAACACGGGGAAACATGCTGCTTTCCGAGCCTTGTTTTGACAGCACAAGGTCAGTTGACTTAGAAAAGAAAACAAAGAAAGAAATCATACCATAAAAGAACATATTAAGTGCCAAAAAGTAGGTACACATAAGAATGTGGCGTTCTGCATAAGTAAGGAGTTAGTGGATACTGCATATCGTCACCATAAACACAAGATCTTACATTATAAACACTGGGAAAGTGTGAGAACCTAATGTGAGATCTGAATAAAACCAGGGGGGGGAGAAATGTGCTATAAAGATTCTGATAGAAAAAAGAAACATTTGGTTACAAAAGTCAGTCATTTGGTGTTCAGGCATGTGTAAAAAGTGTAAAAAGTATCATGAGTGATTGTGATTGTACCAATCCGACTTATAAAGCTCTGCTTAAAAACAAAATAATAAAATAATAATATAATACAAAAAAACCTCAAGGCATAGTTTCTATATCACCAAGCATCTCAAACAGAAGCATGTAAAGGCTGATTGTAATCAAAAAAAAAAAAGAAATAATACATGATTTAAGATCATTTAAAACATGAAAAGATACAACTTCAGAGCCATACAGAAGAAGTATTAATATAAAACAACAGGAAAATATACGTATATGTATACTTATATATAATCAGCAATGGTTATAATAATCTGTAAAAAGGCACTGGGAACAAATCTTTACGGTGCCGACAGTCCAAGATTGCCAACATTCATTCGTTTACTAATCTGCTTCTGTAACATTTCAGCGGCAAACGGAATACTGTACTCCATAAATTAGCAGAAAGGCAGTGGAGGTCACTAAGCTAAAGACTGAATCCATTCCTCCACCCTGGATTGCTCTAAGCACCACAGATACACCTAATATAAGAGGCGTTTAAAAACAGATCTACTGAAATAGGTCTCAAAAAGTGCAAGCTACCTTAGTCGTCTCGTTTTGTAACAGGATCCTATGATGTTTCTGCCTTTCCTACAAGAACTACACGCATCCAATGCTGATCCTTACTCATCTTGCCCATTCGTTAAGATTTCAGCCTTGCTTTCAAGCCACAGTGTTGTCTGGACGTGATGCACCACTAAAGTGAAATCATATCTCATATGAAGACAGGAACAGCACATTTCAAACCCAAGGCAGTCGAGAACGTCAATGTGGATGATCGATTTTCTCCATTATGTACTACAGTGAAATTACCCCAGAGGCTTTGAAGCATCGAGGTAACCAGAATCATGCTCAGCACCGTAACTGTGAGAAGTCTAGTGCACAAGTTCAGGCACATAAGACGTCAGCAGTAACTAGGGCCCGACTGATAGGACAATTTTATGGCCAGTACTGATTTTAGGGGACCAGAAAGAGCAATGTGGAGGGTGTTGCTGTTTGTGCGCACCGCATGGCCAGTTGAGCACACGTCCATAAGGGTGTGGACATAACGTAAAAAGTAACACTACTACAGGGCAGTTGTAGCTCAGGGAAGACAGCTTGACCCACAGAAAAGGAATTAAATTAACAAGGGTTAGTAAGTACCTCCTTAGGATGTATGCTTTGGACACTTTGAAGAAATAAAAAAAAGTAATAAAAGAGAGGCTGCAGGTTAAGCCATCTCAAATTTCCTTCAAAGTTTAAGAGTAGGTTCAAAAATCTGAGTGAAATCTCCATCGTAGAGACAGACTCAAGTCCAGTTTCTTGTCTTTAATCATTGTCCACTGGTGATGCAGCCTCATGTGTCCCAGGCGGCTGAGTTGTTTTAGGATTTCCTCAACAGCTGGTCTGTCATTTGTGACCTGTAAATATTTTTAAAAAGGCAGTCTGAGTCTCAAATGTTGGTATTCCTAATTCTGACTGATATCAAGCACATTTCCGGGGTCACTGAGGGTCGATGATTTGACAAAGGGGTAGAGTATCCAGAGCTGGGAGCAGGGGAGGGGTACAGGTTGCATACAAACGCCACAGTCAACCGTGTGCATAGTGTAAAATGAACATAAAAGGCAGTAAAAGGCAGAGAGACAGAGAGGACTGCCATTAAGACCAAGTCACTCCTTTAGATACGACCCAATGACTGCATAGCTCAGTGGATTTCAGTCCTGGTCCTGGAGCACCGCTCTCCTTTTGGTGTTTACCCTGCTTTAAAATACCTCATTTGACTAATCAGCTCATTAACAACACCTTCCTGAGTGGAAGTGGGTCCACCACTCTCAACATGCCTAACCCAGCTCATTAAGAGCTTGACAATTAGCTGATGAACTGCATATGGTGTACTGGGTAAGGCTCTAGATATGGAGAAAATATCATATTGCAATTACATTGCTTAAGACTGTGATTGTGATATTTCTCGCAATATGCAGTACTGTGTAAAATTCTTAGGCATCTGAGAAAATCAGATTTAAAAAACTACTTATTTAAATGTTTTATGCTCTGAAAACACCAATTTTAAGAATACAAATAATTAATAATTAATACCGTAAGTAGTGGTTTTGTATGTTGATGGATGTCAAGGTGTTTCTCTAATCATTTCCAGACTGGTTTTAATGAATTAGCCTAGGTGCCTAAGATTTTTGCACAGTATCATATTAAGATATGTATATACTGTACTGTGCAGTTTCAGCAGAGGGGTAGGAAATACTTAAAACTGTGCTAAAGCAGGGAAAACAAAAAACGTGCAGGGCAGTGGTGCTCCAGGACCAGGGCTGGAGCCCACTTGGCGTATTTGATCCACCAGGCCGAGCCGAGCGGAAACAGGCAGACTGTGGTGAACAGTTCTACGCGTACACGCTGCTGCAGGACTGCGCCGGCTGCTGCTGCTGCTGCGCTGCCTGCGGTGCCGGTGCCTGCAGCAGTGGTGCTTGTTCAGGAATGTGTGTGCGGTGGGGGTGCGGCAGTGTGTGTGGGTTTGCGAGCGGAGTGGGGCTGGTGGTGACGTCGGACCAGTCCGAGTTGGAGTGAGGGGAGGAAGAGGACCACGGGTCCGGAGATTCGGGTGAAGGGGTGAGGTAGGGGTGCTCGTTGGCTGGCTGGGCAGGATGACCTGGCGTACCTTCAGAGCTTTGAGTGGCGTAGCTGTGCTGGGAGGGTGGCGTTGGGTATTTATCCACAGGGCTTTGCAGCTGCTGGTAGGGCGTCACCTGCTGCCGCACCTGGGCTTCTGCCAGGCTGTGAGCATGCGGGAGGGCGTGGCCATGAGCGTGGCTGTGGGCGTGGCCATGCCCATGGGGCAGTGAATGCTGCATGCTGTGCTGTAGACCCACCTCTGGCATGGGGTACATCATGCCCTGGCTGCAGAGCATGTGTGCGGCCTGCTGGCTATGACTCTGGCCCTGGCTTTGCCCCGGAGCCTGCAACTGTAGCGCCCCCTGCTGCTGGCCGGGCTTCAGGATGCCCGTCTGGCTTCCTCCGGCCGCCATCATCTGGAAGGTGACGATGGGTGGGAGCTGCTCTCGACTCATGGTGACGTTCATGGGCGTGAGCATGCTAGAGCCGTGGTGCTGCTGCAAGCCAGCATGCCCTGGCGCCATCTGGTGGGGGAGCATGTGACTGAACATGTGACCACTGTAGCTGTGCTTGGCCACGCCCACCCAGCCCTGTTGCTGCCCCAGCATGTGGCTAACAGGAGGCAACAGCGGGCGGGTTGAAGGGCTGGCCATCAGTGGGGGCGAATTAGCGGCGTTGGAACCCCCTGCAGCATCCACAGTGTACGAATGTGGGGACTCCAAGGAATCCACTGGAGACATCGTCACTGAACTCTCTGAAAGACCACTCGTGCCACCTGCTGCTTTGGTGCCATTAGTGCTAGCGGTTGCAGTGGCTGATGCTACAGTACCCCCAGCAGCGGCCATTCCAGGGGCTTCACCTCCTGCTGGTTTCTTCCTCCGCTTGGCCTTCATGTCTTTAAGGTCTTTGGCTCCGCCTCCACCACCAGCAGCCCCACCCATTTTGGCGCCACCACGACGGTTCTTCTTGCCTTGCGGTCCCGGTCGCATGCCAATAAACCCGGTTCCATTGCTGCCGCAAACCATGGAAGGGTGGCCTCCTCCGCCATTGCCCATGTGGTTGGGTCCAGAATGGGGGCTGTGTACCAGGTTATATTGGTCAAGCAGGCGGACGATGTCATGGTGCATGCGCTCCTGGGCTGTGTCTCGCGGTAGCCGGTCCAGGTGGTCAGTGATGTCTCGGTTAGAGTAGTGGTCCAGAAGGACCTGAGCTGCCTCGAAACTTCCTTCCCTTGCTGCCAGGAACAGCGGCGTCTCCTCCTGCAGAAGGAAATCAGATTAACCCCTTAAAATCCAGGCTTATTCTCCAGCGCATTACAGTGATTTACCACAGTTAAGCACAAGTGCCCAACAGTACCTTAACAGGAGAAAAATCACTGTAATGCACAACATCTTGTGGCTTACTGCTTTAATAAACCCCGACAAAATACAATATAATATGTAATACAATAAAATGATCAAAAAACTATTATTAACAGTAATCATAAACAATTCTTCCACCTAGCAATGTTCTTTATGTCAAAAACTATTAATATTTAATAGAAATAACAACCAGGCCGCTCACCTTGTTGTCTTGCATGTCTCGATTGGCTCCGTTCTTCAGCAACACTAACGTGGCCTCCACATTATTGACGGCAGCAGCCCAGTGTAAAGCAGATTTACCTGGATAGGTGGATAGAAGACAGAGTGAGAAACAGCAAAGGAAAGCAGAGTATGCACAACAGCAGCAGTATATCAGAGCAATATCACTGTACAGATGATTGTGAAAAATCGTATTTTATTACAGGTTTAGTCATGTCTATGGCTACGTTTACACAGCAGGTAAAAGTGGCCCAAATCCGATCTTTTTCCTCAGATGTGACACAGATGTGTGTCTGTGTGGCAGTGTGAACAGCAAAAAACGCACCGAATCTGACATTTTCAATTCCGATTTGAGACGCTTTCATATGTGGTACTGAAATCCGATACATATCCGATCTGCGGCAATGTGACTCAGTCTGAACAACCAGATCGGAATTCATGCGACTTTTACATCTGTACAACTCGACATTCGTCATAATTTCGCGCTGCTGAGACTCATAAACATTTAGTCTGATGTTTCTGTACCAAAACATCAGAAGAGACTCATGAAACCGCTCTGGGTTTGAAGAGGTTTCGAAAGAAACGGCCGAACGCGGCCGGAGGAGACCGAGGCTGCAGCGTCAGAGAACAGTTTAAAGAATACGAGGACTCGAACCAAAGAAGTGGCCGAATTACGAGCCCTTTTTACGGCAAACTCGAACACACTGTGGGTGATGAGTCCAGCTGTCAACCACTGGAACTTTATACTCGCTCCTGTGATGCTGGCGAAGACGAAACTGAAAGCTGCGGGAGCGACTGGTGTTCGCTGGCCGTCGTGACTGTTTACCTCTGGATGAGCCACGTGAAGCTCTGTTCTTTTGCGCATGCGGGTCGGTTTAGGAGCTGATCTGTTCAGACTGATGTCACATACAGATCACATTTAGAAGATACTGTGAACAGCCAAACCAAAAAATCAGATTTGGTGAGAAAATCAGATTTGGGCCACTTTTACCTGCTGTGTAAACGTAGCCTATGACTTGCGTGTCTCTAGGTTGAATATTAAATGACTAATTTTATACGACTGTTCCTTCACATGACAATCACCATCATCCATAAATCTAGGGCTTTTCTCACAGGTCATTATCTATAGAATGTGACAGTGAAATATGGCCAACATGAGTGAATCTACTCAAATCTACTCAAACTACTCTGTTACTATGAAACTACATACAAACTACATGCATAATCTACAACATACACTGAAATAATTATTAAATTAACAACCAGTCTACTGAATTAGTAAACAATGCAGTCCTACAGTAAAAAAGGTAACAAAAGAGGCATAATTAAGGTATAGCGTCATTCAAAGTTAAAAGATTTGAGTCAACAGTCCAAGTCAGGTAATAGTGTGAAATGTGTTGTCAACTCTGACATTGAACCAATATAGTAGAATGAGCCATACATAAGCATGCAATTTGACATGTCTCACCATGGTCATCCACAGCATTGACATCAGCATGACAGTGCACCAGCTCCTCCACCATGCCCTCCACAGCCAATCTGGCTGCCAGGATAAGGGGAGTGGTACCATCATTCATCCGGGCGTCCAGCTCTGTGGCCCGATTGCGGATCAGGATCTGACAGAAAAAAAAAGTGAGTCAAGCAAAACTGTACAGTGTGCATGGAGGCGAGGGTACTTACTAAGTGGCATCTAAGGACTATACAATAAGCAGAGACTAGCAAGACTAAACAAGAGAGATGAACACCACGTTTTCTTTTTGCCAGAAAAACAACAACAATGGTTTTGTGCACTGGTGTTAATTCTGCAAAAGGCAGTTGTTTTGTCTAAAATCAAGGGTATTAATGTCAGGGTTTCACACAAAAAAGTTAGCTTAAGGAGCCACTAGCTCCTAAAAAAAAAATCAGGTGGCAATAGTTTTTTGTTTTGAGTGCCAAATAATAACATGCAAGATAAATGAAGTTTTTCAACACACTTCAGATCAGCTCTCTGATTTATGTCTCTCTGCCTTCCACTGTGCCTCATTCGCGTCATACATATTATCATACGTCTTTGACACATCCAGTCCGCTTTTTTCATTAATAAGATTTGGGAGGTGAATTTGGTGAAGGGTAGTTCTCCACATGCTGTCATGTAGGCTGTGTTGAAATTAATTTTAAGCTCTCTGAATTCTTTGAATTTGAATTCTTTTCTCGGCTGTTTTTTCGCATGCATGAGACACTGCTTAACTGAGGTTCAGCAGATGACCTCTTAAGGTCCGACAGAGACGTAGACTGTATGAAAACATCTGATATCATTTGCTTCGCCATTTTCTACACCGATGTTCACTGCAAAAAGCTCAGTTCGGCTGACCCGGTGTCCTTTACATTGCATGTAAATTTCATGATGAACGTACCAACAGAAGTGACCCAAAATTACTTAGAAAAAAGTCTGGTTCCTTTGACTTACATTAAAAGTAGGGTGTGTTTTTTCCTTCCCCTGTAAAGTTCTCATTTTGGAGATACGAGGTTTTGTCCCGACAACAGCGATGTGTGTCCTGTATCTACAATATAGCTACAGCTGTTCAGTAGAGGAGCTCTCTATAGGTTTCTCACCTGAAACACTCCCTGTGCGTCTGCAGCCACCGCAGCGTGGAGAGGCGTGCGGCCCATGTTGTCATGAGCATTGGGGTCAGCCCCAGCGTCCAGCAGCCTCTTGGCAGCATCGGCACGGGCGTAGCGGGCAGCCAGATGGAGGGCGGTTTCACCCGTGCGGTCAGTCTGGGCATTAAGCGTGGCGCCCTGGGTGATGAGGTCAGTGATGATGTTGGTTCCAGGTTCATCCACGCCACTCTCCTCCTCATCATCGGCTAAAACACTGCTACATTCAGGACTTCCACCGTTCCGCAGGGAAGCCAGCATGAGTGGGGTGAAGCCGTCTGAGAGAGTGATAGAGAGAGAAATAAAGAGAGCCAGACACAAAGAAACAAAGACAGTGAGAAAGAAAGCATATTAATAACATCAGAACTGCTGAACAAACACGAGCAGCTCTTTGTAACGTTTTTAACATAGACCTTAGAGCTATTCTGTCTTGTATTTCAAATTTCATTTGTACTCAAGTGTTCTTTAGCACACAGTTCTCTAAATCAAAAGCTGAGTGGTATTTATTTGAATGCATGTGAATAATGGCGAAAAACAGCAAAAATATATCCTATATAGACATTAAAGAAGAATTACACTGATTTTTTCAAATTTTCCACATAATTTAATGGCTGAGATGTAAACAAAGTCACTCTTTTAGAGACATTAAACTCTTCAGATGTCTGGTTTCTATCACCACCTCTGTAAACACTTCTGATTCTTTCTCGAAAAATTGACTATTTTACATCAAGCCACTCTGAACAACTGTGTTATCACAATAACTTGATTACACAGGAATGTAAAAAACACAAATCAGTGGATTTCCCCTCCAGCACTGTCAAACGCTGGTAAATAAGAAAGCAGTTACATTTGGCACCTGATTAAGGCTTAAAGAAAGCGTTCATGTTGATGCAGTGTCATTACCTGGCCCTTTTACATTCACGTCCAGACAGTCCATGTCTACATCTGCTTGGGGCGGGGTCAGTGTGATGTCAGCAGCTTTACGGTGCTGCAGAGTCCATTCCCGACGATCCACTCCAGCATCCACTCCTACCGGCAACAAGGGCTTATCCTCCAGCTGAGAGCGAGAAGGAGAGAGGGAAGGAGGTTCACAACTAAGTATTACTACCATCACATTTTAAAATATTCATTATGACTGCATGTATTTCATCATCATTTGACGAAAATCTCAAAAACAGACTTTTCAAGAGAAAGAAAAGTCCTTTTTATAGTAAGTTTATGTAAATGTGTAATGTAACAACAAGTTTATGTAACTTCTACCTACATGTTTTATCCATTTTATCAGCTCCACTTACTATATAGGTGCACTTTGTAGTTCTACAGTTACAGACTGTAGTCCATCTGTTTCTCTGATACTTTGTTAGCCCCCTTTCACCCTGTTCTTTAATAGTCAGGACCCCCACAGAGCAGGTATTATTTGGGTGGTATACCATTCTCAGCAGTAACACTGACGTGGTGGAGGCGTGTTAGTGTGTGCTGTGCTGGTACGAGTGGATCAGACACAGCAGTGCTGCTGGAGTTTTTAAACACTGTGTCCACTCGCTGTCCACTCTATTAGACACTCCTACCTTGTCAGTCCACCTTGTAGATGTAAAGTCAGAGACGATAGCTCATCTGCTGCTGCACAGTTTGTGTTGGTCATCCTCTAGTCCAGTGGTAACAGAACAGTGCTCACAAGACACTGTTGTCTGGATGTTTTTGGTTCTCAGTCCAGCAGCGACACTGAGGTGTTTAAAAACTCCAGCAGCACTGCTGTGTCTGATCCACCTGCACCAGTGCAACACACACTAACACACCACCACCACCTCAGTGTTACTGCATTGCTGAGAATGATCCACCACCCAAATAATACCCACTCTGTGGGGGTCCTGACGACTGAACAGCAGGGTAAAAGGGGGCTCACAAAGTATACAGTGAAACAGATGAACTACAGTCTGTAACTGCAGATCTTCAAAGTTCTCCTATATGGTAAGTGGAGCTGATGAGTCTGGTAAAAATGTATATGTACCTGACCTAAAAGAAGCATGTGTGGGTGTGTGCAGGTGTAGATGTGTGCATCTCTCACCCTTGGCTTCTTGGGCATATGTTCTTCATCTGGCCAGTGATGACCAACGCTGCCATCCATCATCCCCCCATCCTGTGGTTTTTGCAAGTTTCTGAGAGTAAGTGCGTGAGTGAGAGAGAGAGATATGGATTGACATTGAGTCATCAAGTAAGATCTTTTCTGTTACTAATTTAAAGGACACATTAAAAGTTGTGGAATCTCCCAAAACGTTGCAGTCTCTGACTCACTTCAAGCCGAAGTCGTCCTGGCCAACCGGCTCACGCCGCTTACTGTCCTTCTTGGCCAGGAAGCCATCGGGCAGCCAGAGGATGCCATGCTTGCGTTTACGTTTGGCAACCAGAACACCCAACACTAAGATCAGCAGGATGATGGCTGCTGCCACAGCGACCAGATAGATAAGAGGCGGTTTGTGCGGAGGTTCGACTTGATCGCCTGGGAGAGATGGAAGAATAAATGACGATATTTTGATAAAAGAATAGAAAATACAAAGAGGGAGTGGCAAAACAGAAGATCGGAAGGAGGAGAAAGTTATTTTTGCCAGTTTAAACAGGAAGTGTTCTTCTAGGTCAGGGATTCTCAACCTTTACCACCTCAAGGCCCCTCGTTTGTCTCTAGTAAGCATGAAGGCCCACAGCAACAAAAACAGCTTTTTTTGCTTAAAAACTTCATTTTGGGGGAATTTTAATATACAACATCCATCAGTAAACATAAATTATAAACAGAATGGTAGAATTCAGTGGAATGTGTCTACAACACAATTTCCTTTCGCAGAGTTGCAGGTGGGCAGCCAAAACATCGGCGGGAGAATAAAAAAATTGGCTTCTGTCCTCTGTTTTCGCAGGCCTCGTATTAATGTTGTTTACCTTTTGGAAACATTTCATAGTTCATTTATACTGTTAAGCCAATTCTTTTTTATTTTTATGACAAAGTGCCATCGCAGGCCCAGTATGGACCACTGGCAACCCCTCAGTAGCGGCCTAAAGACCACCAGAGGGTGTTTCAAGGCCCTCTTGTGGTCCACGGCCCAGTGGTTGAGAAACCCTGTTTTGGGTTTTATAGTTCAGATTTGCTTTATGATAATTTCATATTGCTTTACTGGCACATTACTTTATGTTTACATATTTTACAAATATATACTGTGACTCTTTATTGTTTGCTCAAATAAAATATAAGCAATCATGTTATAGACATGTTATGGATGTCATCATTGTTTTTATTGATCACATTTTTAATTCCTTCTGCTGTTATTCTCTTCTGCTAGTTATTACCTGAATTTTAATGTGTGAAAGTTGCATTATAAATAAAGTTGTTATTAGGTAAATATAAAGAGTCAAAACTATAAACAGAGTGTGTGAGTGTTTTGTTTCCGACTTACTATCCACAATTAAGAGGGGATAGGGCAGCTCTTTTTTGAGATACTCTGCAGCGATGTATGAAGCGGCCTGGTCCGCACTGGACAAACAGTCACCAGAGCGCTGCGCACACTGTCGATTATCAATCACCAGATACACCTTCGACCTGGGAAAGAACACAAAACATGAGTCAGATTTATACAGCGTGACTCTGCAACCAAATCACAGCTGTAATGTTATTCCCTCGTTGCTTTTATACGTTTTAAAAAAAAATCCGGATACATTTAGACAAGGCCTGAGAGAAACATGGCCAGCATATGCAAGAGTGCCCTAAAATGCAGATAGGGATATATTTCGGTCACTTACCCAATGACCTCCTTCTCCAGCTCCCGCTTGCCCCGCCTCTTCATGGCGTCAGAGCCGGTGTTCGTGTCATCCTGCTCGGCACCGTAGTAAGGGTAGACCATCGGCTTCTGCTGTTCGTCAAGTTTGACCTGAAGGTTAGTGTGCAGGAGCATCCCCAGTGAGCGCAGGAAGCCCTTCAGATCCCCCAGCAGTTCACTGGGCTGCAGCAGCACCACGATGACCAGCGTCCCCTCGGCTAACTGTGGAGGAGTGTCCTTCGAACAGTCCAATCCGTCCCAGCCACATTCCTCTGTGTTACAGCCCTGGTTACAGTGGTTATTCTGAAAGTGATCCAGACAGTATCTATCATATCTGTGGGGAGAGAGAGAAAGAGGGAGAGAGAGAGAGAGAGAGTTAAATGTTGTGAATAAGCATCTTTATTGTTTACATTTTAAGACTTCCTAGCAGTCAAAATTAGACCATTTAATAAGATTATAACACAAAATAATGAAAAATTAAAAGCCAGTTAACAGCCATATGCAAAGGTTTGGGCACATCTGGTCATATGACATGTTTTGTTGATTATTTGCTGAAACTCTGCACTAAAATTTTCTAAAAAATGCTATATTTATTGGGCTCATTGTAAAGGGTTCAACTTATTTTCCTAGAAAATCAACAAAACATGTCATTTGACCAGGGTGCTCAAACATTTACATACAACTGTACACACTAAACTCTGCAAAGTGAAAATTGACCAATGCTGCTTCTTGATGACCTAAGTAGTTATTATCTAGACTGGGGTTCTACTGCTACACATTTTACACTTAACAGCAGGTCTCGCGAGACACAACCTATCACAATATTTTGTTTTTCTGAAGCTTGATTAGAACAGGTGCCACAAAAATAAAATACAAGCAAAAACTCACAAAAACATTTTATATACTGTAATATAAACCTAAATTAATATTAATGTTTTTCAAATGTGTTTTTTCATTTCTACTATATACAGTGAAGCGAATATTCCAGAGCAGCTTAAAAATGATTGCACAGCAAATTCATCCATCGTCACTCTTTAAATCCTCATGCTCCTACATTTCTCACTTGTAGAAGTCAATTTTCAAAAAGATTTAGGGAAACTAAAATATGGAATATGTTTTCCCATTTGGCAAATTTTGGCATTTTTTTAAATGTTACAAAAGATGTTTAAAAGACCATTTAATATCTGTATTGAATTTTTTTTCCTATGTACTGCTGTTTATATATATCCATGTGTTACATGTTTCACTTATTGTGATATACACACAGATTATATATATATATTATAATTACTATTACCCAGGAGTTAATATAAATGTGCATCATTTCACAAATGTGTGTATATATAAATACATAATTTAGTAATTTCATATATATATATATATATATATATATATATACACACACACACACACACACACAGACGCCCTTGTGCACATACACAATGCATACGTATGCTTACACATTTAATGCGTTATACTGATATTTAGGTAATTTGATGTTTGTCATTATTGTTCTGTATATTATTCTGTGTTTTCCATAATATTGTGCAATTTTTATATTATTTAGGTGGAGTCCTTATTTAAGCCTATTAGGCTTTTTGCCTCTCCCTGCACTGTATATTATCTTTGTTTATTTGTGTGTATATTAGAGGAGGGGTGCCCAGGTACGTACTTGCAGATGCTGGGCGTGGGCGAAGATCCTTTCTGGCACTCAAAGCTGTCGAAGAGACACCCTGGGTTATCACACTCCGGGTCACAGCGGCCATTATGGAAAAAGTCCCAGCAGGGCACTGAAGCCGTGCAGTTCTCCCAAGGCCGGCGCCAGTGCAGTGTACAGTCGCCCCCGTCCCACTCACACTCCGGAGTCTTACACTGGGGGTCACACACCCTGTCGCCTGCCCGCTCCACACACTCCACATACGGGCAGAGGGAGGTGGGTGTGACCATTCTCGGGACGTTTTGGCACTGCTCCCCGCTGTAGCCCGCAGGACAATGGCAGGCGAAGGCAGACGGCTTGTGGGGGTCTTTAATGCACATGCCTCCATTTTGGCACTGGCAGGACGGGTCTGTGAGGATTTCGCAGCGTGTGCCTTTAAAGCCCGGTGGACACTGGCACTGTGGGTGCCCAGATGACTCGTGGCACTGCCCGCCGTTCTGACAGCGCAGGATGGCACACGTGTAGCCCTCCATGTCGCCGCAGTTCAAGCCTGTGTAGCCCTGTGAGACAAACAGAGAACCTGTCAGACACTGTTACGCGGCACCTCCACGGAAATGGAGGCACGTTTAGCTAGGCTTGGACACTAAAGCAATAAGAATTCCCAAAATAAAACATTTTTTGACAGTGATAATACACATTTGAGATATTTTAGATAAAAAGACAATCAAAAAAATGCTTTTTCTAGGTAGGGCCTTCAGATGACACCTATTCAAACTCTCTCAAGCATGCTTATATTCCATTTTGGCTATGGAGCAGCATGACTAGATAGCACTCCTCTAACCTGTGCAATGCGCTTTGCAAATGAAAGATGCCCTCTCTCACTAAAAACTCTAGTTCTGGCTATTTTTGAACACCCAGACTTACACAACACTCCACATAAAGATTACCACAATCTAAACTTGAAAAAAGTTTTTATTTATTATCATATGTATCAATTTCAAAATATTTATTCAACATTTCGGTCGTTTGCATTCTTTCAGATCACTGTTTCATGTTTACCTACTCGTCAATCAAGTGTGCTAATCCGCCACTATACGACTCCGTTACACTATACGACTTTTACCCCGATTTTAGCCCCGATTCTCAGTCTGTTTGAGTCTGTGCTGGTCGGCTCTAGTCTGCTGATTTTTGGGGTCAGTCGGAGTCGACAGTTGGAGAGAGAGTCAAGTAGTGTGTGAGGAGCGCAGACTCAGATTTTTGGCCTCCCATGAACGTAATCTAGTGTAAACTCATCAACGACTTAATCTGAACGGACTACTGCAACAGCCAATGAAAACTGAGAGCGTGAAAGAAGAAAATACAGCAAGTAAACAAAGAAAAATGGCGAAAAGTCTCTCACGTGTGGAGCGAAGCTTTTTTATGAGTTTAAGGCACAAGCACAACAGAGCTTATGTACATTTAAAACTCTAAAAAATACCAAAATGATCACATTTTTAAATCCACAAGCCTCACTTCAACTTTTATTTTTTTATTATTTAGAGTTCTCGTGAGTTTAGTCAGTTCCGTTCGGTTCAGCGACAGCTTAAAAGTTAAGTAGTATGTGTTCCCTAATAGTTTAGTGTGTGATTCCCAGTATTACAGTCACCCAAAAAATCTGGAAAAACCAGTCATATAGTGTGACACCCCCAGTCTTTTCATAATCTCTTACGACTGCAAAAAGTTGTGTGGTGAACCCAAGACTTAACACAGCACACTTGCTGAGTGTTTGTGGGTGTTGGTATTTGTTGATGTCAGCGTGGTGGAATTATAAAATGTAGCTGTTTAACAGGAGAATCACCTCACTCCATCACACAGCAGCACAACAGTTGGGAGTGTGAGGGTTTGAACTTGGATATAAAGCTCTTTAAAAAACAAAACAAAACAAAAAAAAAAACGCATACCTGAGCTGGCCCTCTCCTTTTAGCGCAGGCGTGAAGAAATGGAGAGAATACGCAGCGGTTAGAGAAGCAGCTGTTTTAACCATGCAGAGACACTTAGGCATGCTTTCATTATAGAGCACAAAGAGAAGCAGGGAAAAAAGAACTTGTTCTCCTCCTACGCTGACAGAAAAATGTGAGTTTCACTTGCAAATGTTAAATAGGCATAACATTGAACTGAGCCTTGTTTAGTCCCAGAGCAGATGTCAATTGCACAGCAGTTAAAAAAGACAAAGGAACATGAAAAAAAAAGAAGCACACAATAAAAAGAAAGGAGAAATAGTACACGCAAGCTGCAGCGGACTTACAGGGGGACAGGTGCAGCTGTATCCGTGGACTGAGCTCATGTTCATGGAGCATTTCCCTCCGTGGTGGCAGGGCTTCGACTGACACAGGTCCACCATCGACTCACAGTGATGACCTGCACACAACATCAGAACACAGACAGTTAACACAGCACATACTACCATCTAACACATACAGACAATACTGTTATCACATGTACGGCAGTTCAGAATACATCTGTAACACAGTATTCATTTAACTACCACAGGCCCATTAGTGAAAATGCTGTATTTAAGTTCTCATTAATAGATATTGTTTGGTGAAATAGGAATTTTCTCCTTAATCCAAATGTACTCAACCAGCCAAGACACCTGAAGTTCGATTCTTTTGTGTCAGAGCCACACGACAGGCAGGAATCATGCTGCATTTTCCTGTCATATCATTACATTGTATCAGAGAGAGTTTCTGAGCTAGCTAAGCATTTTCTCTCTATGTTAAATGGGGTAGTGAAACATGATTTTACAGGCTTATATTATTTTCCCTGCCCACTGGTGCTTGGTGATGTAATCGAAGTTCAGAGGGCGGTTTATAGGTGGGGCAAAAGTCATTACATTTTGATGGAAAATTATAGAAGAATAAGAACATAGAGTATTAAATGAAATATGATCAGTCGTGCTTAATGCGACCAAGGACATTAAAGGGGAACACCACCCATTTTTCAAAATTACTTACTCATTGAACTGTTTAGATGTGAACAAAATCGTTCAGAGTGGTTCAGTGTAAAATGCGTCTTTCCAAAGACATTTAGAGTCAACATTGTTCACCATTGTAGTACTAGGAACCAGACATCTGTATGTCTGCACTACAAATATCACCATGTTATCTGGTATCCAAAAAGACCAGTGTAGACTGACTGAACCCGCCGGCACCAACGCAGAACAACCCAGAGCGAATGGAAATCGGGGGTGTCAACAACAAACTACTTGCTACTCTGCTTACCTGTTTATGAGGCAGGATAGCGAGGTAGGCCTACCTCAGACAGTCTGTAAGCTGACGGCTAACAGTGATATATGCACAGTGGGTATCGAGGACTAATTTATGTCACTCACAAACGTTTTATCTTGATTCCAGTTTCTGTGGTGGAAAATACAACAGCAGATTTCTTTAGCAGCCGCATCTGAAGAAATACTTGAGTAACGTTAGTCTTCGTCTGTGAAGCTGTTCGACTTTGGTATTTTTCTTGTAGCTTCAAAACAGTTAGCCACAACTTCAACGGCAACCCGAAAAAAAAAACACCCTGTACTGTATTTTCACAATCTATTTTTACATCCTGGTACAGCGCAGTTCACCACCACTCTGACCAATTTACTAGCAAAGCCTATCTGTGATCTATGGCAGCTCCCCTGATGAATAATGTTACCCGAATAAGCTCTAAGTTTTGCCAACCGTGCAACAAAACGCCGCCAACTCAAACAAAATGAACTGTGGGCAGGGCGGAGAGGTACATGCAGGGCGTTGTAAGGAAGAAGTAGTATCCAAAAACATATTTATTTTCTAATTTAGCACTATTTTATCATTATCAGCGTTAAATGTAAAATGGTGATATTTGCAGTGTCGACATATGGATGTCTGGTTCCTAGTACTACAATGGTGAAATATTTTGACACTAAATTTCTCTATAAAGGCACATTTCACACCAAACCACTCTGAATGATTTTGTCTACATCTAAACCGTTGAATGACAGTCAATTTGTTCCTATCCAGCTAAATGTCATCCAGTTTGATTTCAGCTTAAACTGAAAGCAGCATCAGACTGAGACTGTCATTCTAACAGATGAAAATCTTATTACATATGCGCATAACTACTAAAAGGTATCGGAATCATTTTGTTGCACTAAGCCAGGAAGAGAGACAAAGGATAAAAGACAATTTAGAAAATAATAGTAATAAAATGATTTGGTTCAGTGTTTAATCACTGCTGCGATGCTGTAGAGGTAAAGCTCTGTTTACGCAAGCAAATGAAACAAAGCTCACCTGTGTAACCAAGGCGACAGCGGCACTGATAGTTATTCGCCAGCTGGACGCAGTCGATGCTGCCGAGAGCATTGCAGGGTGCAGAGAGACATTCGTTGATGTCACCCTCACAGTGATCACCGGTGAATCCAGGTGGACACACGCAAGTGTAACGGCCAATACCGTCCACACAGCGTCCACCATTCAGACAGCGCGGGCCGAACTCGGGAGAGCACTCATCCACGTTCACCTCACACTGAAGGCCTGGGCGGAAACAGAGAAGGAGTAACATAGTTTTAAAAACAGTTTTAAAATGCAGCTCATTCATGAGCTGTTTTTCACTTTTGACTGTGGTTTTAAAAAGATTTCAGTACCTCACTATGCCGAGTTTCTGCCGTGCACAGTATTGCACAGGGAATTTTCAATGTCCATGTGTTGCATCTCTGATTGCTAACTAAACGCTAACTTGATTTATGGCCAACTATTAGTCGCAGCCCTAATTAGCAGAAATCTCTAGAAACATAAACTCTAAAAAGATGTATTAACATCTAGAATGCTTCATTTCTGAAAAGCTGTGATCAAATCTTAAAGCAGATAGCACGAGAAGAAATCATTTAATAACACTGGGCCTCATTCTCCAGTATCCTCCTAAGTTTTTCTTAAATTTGTTCTTGAGAAAGGCCCTAAGAAAAAGTCTCATGACATGTTCTTGAATCGCAGAGCTGTTCACACCTTTGTGCTCTTGAGTGTGTGTAGATTCTGTTCTTACCTAAGAACAAATCCCACATAAGAAAACATCTTGGTAAAAGCTTAAGTGGGTATTTAAGAACCAATTTCTTCTTAAGAATGGTTGGTGAACGGGGCCCATAATTCTCAACCCCCACCCCCTCCACAACTTATTACTGAAAAAAATAACATCTAACAAGATGACAGCATCTTCAGACTTTTCTATAATAGAATCACGTCCCCTGGTGGTCTCACCTTTGGTGCCAGGAGGGCAGGAGCAGGAGAAGCGGTTGACCAGATTGATGCAGGTGCCTCCATGTCGACAGGGGTTAGACTGACACTCATTGACATCATACTCACAGTTCACTCCCTGATAACCTGCCTTACACTGAGTGGAAAAAGGAGAAAGAGAAGAAAAGACAGAGACGATGAGAGACATCCACAGATAATACAGTAATACAGAGATAAAACTGTACTTTATTGATATTGGGTTTCTAATTTTCATATATTTCCTACCTGTTGCTAGAAATTTACATACTAAATACCATGTCCATACAACCATACAGAACCTCTGTCATTCAGATCTAAGATGTATTTATGTGTGCTTTTCTTTATCTGCTCCGTCTTATGGAAACAGTATTTTAAAGTTCCACTGTACTGTATTTCTTATCTCATTAAAGCTGTATACTGACAATAAATGAGTACTACACTGTCGTATGGGGGTTTTTATATCTCCCAGGGTTTGCTAATATTAACCAGCTATAAAGAGCTCTCACCCGGCAGCCGTAGCCACCCTGGTAGTCTATGCAGGTTCCTCCGTTTCTGCAGGGACTTGACAAGCACTCATCGATTTCCTTTTCACAGTAGCTGCCCCACCAGCCCGGCTGACACATACACTTGTGTGCGTTGTCTTCATTTGTACAGAGGCCGCCGTTTTGACACACTCGCTCCACTGGCACACCTGAAACACACAAAAAAAACACAGATATATTAAAGATACATGTGTGCAAACATGTATTCAAACAAGTATTTTATACATGTGCATGTGATTTTTTTATAGAGCGAGAGAGATCAGAACGTGGGTCCTTGCTGAATGGTGAAGTTCACTGGAGAATAACAAGGTATGGAAAAGAATGATGGGGTTTGTTGGAAAGTAAGAAGTTCTTGTGAAAAATAAGGATGTCTGGAAAAGTAAGGCGATTAAGGAGGTTTGGTGGAGAGTAATAAGGTCTGGAGGAGGATGGTGAATCTCATTAGAAAGTAATGGTGGGGTTTGTTGGAGAGTAATGGGGTTTGTTGGTGAACAGGGGGGTTTACTGCTGTAGAATAATGGTGTTTGGGGGAGTAGGTTTGTTGGTCAGTAACAGGGTTTGAATGAGAAGGTATGTTGGAAAGTAATACGGTTTGCTGGAGAGATATGGGATTTGTTTGTGAATGATGAGGTTTGTTGGAAAGTAACGGGGTTTTGAGGAGAATGATGGAGAGTACAAGACATTGTTTGTGAACACTGGGGTTTGCTGGAGAACTGTGGGGCTTTCTTCAGAACAACGAAGTTTGCTGAAGTATAGTGAGATTTGTTGGAGAACGGTGTGATTTGCTGGTGGGTTTGTTAGGGAGTAATCGGCTTTGTTGGATAGTAAGGGTGGGAGCCGTTGGTGAACGGTAGGGTGTGTTGGAAAACAAAAGAGTTTGCTGAAGCACAATGGGACTTGATGAAGTGTAATACGGTTTGTTGTAGAGCAGTGTGGTTTGTAAAGAAGTCTGTTGGAACATAATGGGGTTTGTTGGAGAGTAATAGGGTTTGTTGGTGAATAGTAATGTTTGTTGTACAGTATAGGGTTTTTTTCTGAATGGTAGGATTTGATGAAGTGCAAAGGGACTTGCTGAAAGGTAATGGGGTTTGCTGAAGAGTTATGGAATTTGTTGGAGAATATTGTAGGTTGTTGGAGAGTAATAGGGTGTGCTGGTGAATATTGAGGCTTGTTTCGTTGGAGTGTAAAGATGTTTGGACGAGAAGGTACGTTGGAAAGTAAAGGGGTTTGGAGAAGAAGGTATGTTGGAAAGTAAAGGCGCTTGCTGGAGAGTAAGGGGATTTGTGAATGATAGGTTTTGCTGCATAGTAATGGTGTTTCGAGGAGAATGATGGGGTACAGTGGAGACTACAAGGCTTTCTTAGTGAACACTGGGGTTTGTTGGAAATGGTGTGGTTTGTTTGGAGTGTAATGGAGTTTGTTGGTGAACTGAGGGATTTGAGGGAGAACAGTGGGGTTTTCTGCAGAACAATGAAGTTTGTTGAAGTACAACGAGATTTGATGCAGAATAATGAGTTTTGCTGTGAGTTTTTGAACTGTGAGGTTTGTTGGAGAACTGTGTGATTTGCTGGTGGGTTTGTAAGGGAGTAATCGGCTCTGTTGGAGAGTAAGGGTGGGGGTCGTTGGTGAATGGTAGGGTGTGTTGAAGAACAATGGAGTTTGCCTAAGTGTAATGGGATTTGTTGAAGTGTAGTATGGTTTGTTGGAGAGTAATGTGGTTTGTTCAAGTGTAAAGAAGCTTGTTGGAACATTTTTTTGGAGGGTAATGGGGTTAGTTTGTGAATAGTGCTGTTTGTTAGTAGGGATTGCTGAAGTGTAATGGGGTTTCCTGAAGTGTTATGGAATTTGTTGGAGAGTAATGTTGTTTGTAATGGGGTTTGTGGAAGTGTCATGGCATCTGCTGAGTGGGATTTTGTCAGAGAATTGTGGGATGTCTTGGAAAGTAATGTGGTTTTTATTGAAGCACCTCGCTCACCTTTTCTGGTGGCAGCACTCAGGCAGGATATTTTGGGAATATCACAGTAGAGTCCGGTCCAGTCCTGGGGGCATTTGCAATTCCATGTGATCTCCTCCTGGACACACGTACCCCCATTCTTGCACTGGATGTTTTTGCAGAGATCCGTCAGAGACTACAACATACAAAAACATCAAATCAGCTCTTTAGCGAAAACACATTACCTCTAACTGCAGAAACAGATCACGCTGACAATGTCAGATGTCAATCAGAACTCTCAGATCACTCTAAAACTGCAGTAGTGTGTGTACCTGACAGTTGTAGCCGGTGTACTCCATGGGGCAGGTGCAGTGGTAGGTGCCTAAGCCATCTGTGCAGGTGCCTCCATTCTTGCAGGGCTGTGATTCACACTCATTAATCTCATACTGACAGAATTGGCCGGTGAAACCGGGTTGGCAACGACATGAAAAGTGGTTAACGCCATCCACACAGGTCCCATTATTTAGACAGGAGCTGCACAGAGAGAGAGAGAGAGTAAGAAAGAAAGATCAATGGCTGTAATCAACAGTGGCTGTCAGTTTTAAGTTGTGATCATGTAATACATTTCTTCCAAACCTTCTAATTAGGCCTAATAATTAGATAAAATGCTAATAATAAATTAATTATTGCACAGATTTACTAACGTGCAAAATCTAAATAGTATTTGAATCGTGGAGAAAACAACGGACTTATTCTGGTGTAATATACCAAACTGTTTATCATCAATATAAAATACTAAATAATTAAGTACAGAGTACAAAAAAATGTAACTAAATGTCGCCACAAACAGCTTTTTTGGCTCTTGTTCTACAACATTTTCCTCAAGCTCAAGGCTTTTTTATTCTCCATAATTGCAACAAGCAAAATTAGTGATAACTTTAATGATAATTAATATTTAACTAACTGTCCTACTGGTTTGTGCTGTTGTGAGTAAATGGCTAGACTTCTTCTCCCTTCCCCTCTAGTTAAGGTTCACAGCACCACCCAGTGTACTTAAGTAGCAACTGCTACTACCAGACTAAGGAACAGAACAGAATAACACATTCATCAAAAATAACTAAACTGATTTTGATAATCCTTATCAGTTGATCATCCAAATCTGCTTCTAGTTTGTCGCTGTTATTAAGCATTTTACGTCTGTCTTAGAATCGGTCCTTTAATAATTTGTACCTTTAAAGCTGTGACAATACAACACAAAAGGGGCTGATGACACGTAACGTCTGATGCTTGGTAATACAATAAAGGACTTAAAACCTTCCTAACACAAAGATCGGTTAAAGGAGTAGCTTTCAACTAAAGTGCTACAACAAATTCACTATTAAGCAAAGAGATCACAACAGAGGTGCTTACGTCTCTGTGCATTCAGGAATGTTGCGTTCACAGTGGATGCCATTGAAGCCGGGCGGACACCGGCAGGTGTAGCTGTTGACGTAATCAGTGCAGGTTCCTCCGTGCCTGCAGGGGGAGCTTTCGCATTCGTTCACCTCCTGCTCACATCGCTCTCCATAAAAACCCGGCCTGCAATCGCAGGAAAACCGGCCCACCTTATCTAAGCACGAACCACCGTTTATGCAGGGATCTGAAAATACAGATAGGAAAATATATTAATCTAAATGCATAAATACATCACAGAACACTGCTAATGTCCCTACAGTGAGGAATAAAAGCGGCTTACCTTTTTCTGCATTATGTCAACCAATTCATGTTAGTTTTAAAAGTTTGTATTGTTGGTTTAAGTTTCCTTTGCACTGTTACATCTACATATATCTACTGCCATATGAACTAAAGATGGCACCGATCTGATAAATGGTATCTGTATCGGGTGGATATCTGCAGACTGGATATCGGATGAAAAAAAAGAACATCTCCAATCCAGTCCTGTAACAAATCTATCCTAAAATAGGACTTACTCTCACTGTGTCATGTCGTTACGACTAGGAGTCAGACATTACCGTATGACAGTGTTCATAAAGCTACATGACACCTACATAAGCCCTTCATGATCATAATGTAGACCTACATAAACATTTGTAAACACTAATTCCAACAGGTGCTATTTGTCAGAGAGGATGCATTTGCCAGCTTTTACGTCAAGTTGACTTAACATCTATGTTGTCTCATGGCACTTTCTGGGGTGAAAGGACATAGACTTTGTAGCTAAGTGTATGTCACAGTGACATAACGCTGATGCCAAAGCTTGACATTGCTTGTTGGTTAAACAAAAGTGAGCATATTTTGAGGCCCTTGAGCAAACTGAGTTTTGTTTTACCATGTATAAGATGAAGCTATGTCAGAAAAAGTCTCTGACCTGACACAGATGTTATGTCAACTTGGCATTAGAGTTGACAAAAGCAACCTTAATGATTGACCACGCCTATTAGAAAAAGGCTTTACAAGTGCTTACGCAGGTTTAAGTCACTGAGTGAAGTCACTGATCACTATTCTGTGTGTTTGCGTGTTACAGAGGGTGGGTGAACTCACTGGAGCTGCAGTCGTCGATGTTGGTTTGGCAGTTCTTTCCGCTGTACCCAGCCTGGCACACGCACTCATAGCTGCCCTGCTTGTTCACACAACGAGCTCCGTTCTGACACGGACTCTTCCGGCATTCATCCACATCCTCTGTACACTGGGCGCCTGCATGAATTACATACGCAAAATGTAAAAACGTCTGAGCACCTCCAGTCACAATGTGCAGAAGTGTGTTCTCTGTACAGGATGTAGTAACTTATGTTCACTTAGAAAATAAACAAAACACGTCATTTGACCAAGGCCTCTCTTTTGCATATAACTGTGAGTGTGTGTGTGTGTGTGTGTGTATGTGTATATATATATCTCCATTTTTATCATTATTTTTCAGTTTTTTGACGTAATTTCAAAATGCCTTTTGCCCTTTACATTGTGTATGAATTTCATGATGAATGGACCAAAAGAAACGGCCCAAAATTACTTGTACAAAACCCTGGTTCCATTGACTTACATTAAAAGTGGAGTAGGATTTTTCCCTCTCCTGTGAAGTTATCATTTTGGAGATACGAGGTTTCGTTCTGACAGCAGTGATATACATACATACCTCCAAAATAGTAAGTTCACGAGAGCGTGCAAAAATGTTCTTTATTTTTAATGTAAGTCGATGGAAAGAGATTTTGGTGCATTTCTATTGGTCCATTTATCATGAATCATTTCACACAATGTAAAGAACAGCTGCTTTACTCAAATGATGTAGATGTACATGTCTTTCTTTGGACAGCGATATATATCTATGTATATCTACATATATCTATATATCTATATATCTAAATATATATATATATAAATATACACACACACACACGCACACATGGGATACACTATTACATATAGGTACATATATATATATAAAAATACATCTGGGATAGAAGCTGGAGGAGCATGATTTAATATTCTAATCCAATAGACTCACCCTGCCAGCCAATGGGACACCTGCAGGTGTAGGAGGTGTAATCGAGTGATGGCTGACAAACACCTCCTCTCTTACACGGCTGAGACGCACACGGGACCAACTCTTCCTCACAGTACCTCCCTGTATATGCGTGTTGGAAAAGGGAGTGTGTGAGTGAGCGAGACAGGAGCACTACAGCTCTAAAGATACAGCATCAAAACATTTGTAACAATGAACGGTTAATACGTCCTTCTGTTTCTTCCCACTTTTAGTGATCAAAACTAGACATCTGGGTGCATTCCATCAAAGTAATGTGGGCGGGGCTTCTGTTATTCATGCACACTCAAATGACTGGGTTTTTTTTTACTGAAGAGCTTTTAAATTCTAGGGAGTTGTGATTTTGGTGTTTAGAGGGCACGGCAGGCACTAAAAAAGCTGCAGTACAGTACACTGTACAGTGCTACTTCAGTATGTGCAAATAATTTGTCTCCAGAATTTTCTTAGTAACATATTTTAAGCTTAAAGTCGGATTTCTGAATATTAACCTGTTCACCACGCACAGTTAAACCTTTTAAACCTCTCAGGAAGAGAGAGAGAAAGCATGTGTGATTTACCTGTGTAAGGTAAAGTGCAGTGGCAGGTGTAGCCATTGACTTCATCAGAGCAGGTGCCTTGATTTAAACAGGGGTTTGAGGCACACTCATCAATATTTCTCTCACAGTTCTTACCTAAAAAAGAGAGAGAGAAGCTGATTAGTTGAAGGAACTGTACTGGAATTTTTGTAGTCACTCACTCACAGATACACAGTGCCCCATATGTATTATGTGCGCATATATACATATATATATATTTTTGTATGTTCCCCCCAAATATGTTAAATTAAAAAATAAGACCCTAACTTCAACCACAGGAACAAAAAAGTTTCTTTTTATAAAGAAAGTAAAAGTTTGGTAAAAGTCAGGAGCATTTTGTTGATCCTGATTTTACTACTAAGTCAGGACATCCTTGTCCTGAAAATGTAGAAACACATAAACACAAACACACACTCACCATCAAATCCTCGTACGCAACTGCAGGTGTAGCTGTTCAGGCCATCCTTGCAGGCTCCTCCATGCTGGCAGGGGTTGGACTCGCACTCATTCTTCTCCAGCTCACAGTTCTGACCCTCAAATCCAGCTTTACACTCACAGCGGTACCTGTTCAGTGGAAAGTATGAGGGTATGAAGCAACAGAAAACTTTTTTATCAGAGCTTTTTAACCAGTTTTATCATATTTTCGCAGTACCGCACTAACAATAAACAACATTATTTATTTTGAGCATTGATATCATTGCAGAATGAGTTCATACTGTCCCATCACTATTTACAGTATAAATATCTACGTACCCATCCTGCTCCTCCACACACTCTCCGTGTCTGCAGGGCTGGGAGGCACAGTGGTCCACCCCGGAGTGGCACAACAGTCCGTGAGTGCCCACTGGACACTGGCACTGAAACCCATTCAGCTTATCCACACACGTCCCACCACTGAGACACGGGTTAGAGTCACATTCATTTATCTCCACACTGCAGCGGTCACCTGACAGAGAGACAGACAGGTGGAGAGGGGAAGAGAGGGAGGGAGGGAGAGGGAGGAGGGAGAGAGTGAGGGAAAGAGGGAGAGGGAGGAGAGAGAAAGAGAGAGAGAGATAGGAAGCAAGAAAGAGAGGAAAGAGAGAGAGAGAGGGAGGGAGAGATTGAGGGAGGGAGGGAGGGAGGGAGGGAGGGAGACATGGGAGGGAGAGAGAGGGAAACATGGGAGAGCGAGGGAGGAGAGAGAGAGAGGTGGAGAGGGGAAGAGAGGGAGGGAGGGAGAAAGACAGAGAAAGAGGGAGAGATGAGATAGAGGGAGGAAGAGAGAGTGAGGAAGGGATGGAGAGGGGACAGGGAGGGAGAAAGACCGAGAGAGGGAGAAGAGAGAGAGAGTGAAAGAGAGGGAGAGAGGAAGCAAGGAAGGGAGGGAGGGAGGGAGAGGGAGGAGAGAGAGAGCGAGGGAAAGAGGGAGAGGGAGGAGAGAGAAAGAGAAAGAGAGAGAGAGACAGGCAGCGAGGAAGGGAGAGGGGACAGGGAGGGAGACATAGGAGAGAGAGAGAGAGAGAGAGAGAATGAAAAAGAGAATGAAATGAAAAAAGAATGAAAGAGCGAGAAAAAGAAAAAGGGAGGGAGGGTAAGAGCAAAAGAGGGTATTTAAGAAGACAGAGAGAGAAATTCATTAGATTGTTCACACATTAGTTCACCAAGACTATGAATGGAATGAACGGAATACATGCTATGAATAAAATGTGAAAAATATATGCACTCCTTGTGTATGTATGTGTGTACATACCTGTGTAGCCAGGCTCACACGCACACTTGTACTCATTAATGCCGTCCTCACATGAGCCATGCAGACAGGGGCTACTGGCACAGTCATCGTAGTTGATCTCACAGTTCACACCTAGAAAAAGGCGAGAAGGCGTAAATCCCCTCGAGCACTCAGGCAAGCAGAGAGACCTGAACAGCCTGTTTCAGGCTTTACACTCATAGGAGGTTGTTTCATCAGGCTGTCACAGCATCATAACTCATTTGTTTTATTTTTATTTATATTTTTTTTAACACAATTTCTTCTTCTTTCATCGTGAGAACGTTTCATGAATAGATTACATATTATATTAAAACAGAAGAACATTTCTAGGAAAGTTATAGCACAATAGTGAGTAACTACAATGATTATTTAGGCTTACTCATAGCAAAGCCCATCAGTCTGTTTAATCCGCTGCAGATTGTTTCAAATGAATCATCTACACTTATGATTATACTATATCTGCACAAGTATGTTTTTTGGCACTAATTTAGTTTAGCTAATTGGTTTTAAACTACAAGTTTAAGATTATTCTGGGTATTTAGTGGCTAAAATAAATACCCAGAATAATCTTGAACTTGCAGTTTAAAACCACACATTATATCGCTGTTGTCGGAAGAAAACCTCGTATCTCCAAAATGGTAACTTTACAGGAGAAGGAAAAAACTTACTTTACTTTTAATGTAAGTCAATGGAACCAGACATTTTCCCAAGTCATTTTGGGCCGTTTCTTTAGGTCCATTTATCATGGCATTTACACGCAATGTAAAGACCAACAGGCACTTTCAAAATATGTCAAAAACTGAAAAATGATAAAAATTAAGATATGAGGTTTGTCGTCCAACAGCAGTGATATGCTTATACTAATACTAATACTGAAAATGTTTAAGGAGGTTCATTCTATTCAATGCGCTCAATGTCCACCAGAGGGTGTAGTACACTTTGCTGGGTGCTGGTGGAGAGTGAGAGACTGACTGCCAGTAACTGAACTCCCTAACTCTCTCTTTCTACCTCTATCTTCAGGCTGCTTTCACGTCTCAGTGATACAAATCAAACTGAGCACAGACACTTAAAGCAGTAGTTTGGCCCAAACTGAAATGAAAGCTGTTTCCTCCCAGCCTCAAATGTCACGGCTGGGGTCCAAAGTTTGCTTCTAAGGCCCAATCCCATTTCTTCTTTTTACCCCTACCCCTTGTTTTTGAGTTACAATTTGCCCCTTGGAACTGAGTTAGAAGGGGTAGTGGTTGAAATCTTCCCTATGAAATGAGACCCTCAAACAAAAAGAGCATTACTTCATTAACAGCTACCAGCGCTGCTCTGTAGGCGACCCTGCCAGTCTGCAGTGACAGCAGAGGAGGGTAAAGTTCAGCTCCTCACTGCTGGGCTTTAGTTACATTTAGGGAATCATATAGTTGGTTACCACATCATGTGAAATGTTCTAAGTGCCAACTGTCAATATTTCTTACTGCTATTTTGCTAAGCAAAGTTCATGATAAGCTTTATTGTGACATATCTTAGTCATGACACAGGCTATATGTAGTGCTGCAAGTTAGTCAGTGACCCGGTTATCTTTTGTCAGAGTAACCCACAGAGTCAGCCGCTGTTCCACACTGTTCCGCTTTAGCCAAAAGGTGTTTTTTTTTTTTTAATAAATTTAGAATTAGAGATGTGGCTTCACCAGACAACTTCAAGACATCAACAAGTCTTGGCTAGTTAAGGTGGAAATTACGTACATTTGATTTCTGGCCAAACTACCACTTTACAGAGACAAGCTTCCAAAGCAGCGTGTGTTTATGTAAATGTGTATCCCATGACTTACCGGCTGTGCCGGGCAGGCAGTTGCACTGGTATTCATTAACAAGGTCAATGCACCGTCCTCCATTCTGGCAGGGGTCACTGTGGCACTCCTTAATCTGCTCGCTGCAGATACGACCCATATACCCTGAGTAACAGTCGCACGTGAATGTGGCGATTCCGTCTTTGCACGTACCGTGATGGCAGGGCTTCGGGTGACAGTCATCGATGTTCTCATTACACAGAGTGCCTGTAAAACCTGGAGGGAGGGAGGACGGGGGGATGAAGGGATGTGAGAGAAAGAGAACATATACACTGTCTACTTCAAAACAAAGAATGATCATTTTTAATGATGTTGGCTGAAGATCAGATCTACTCTGTCTATATAACCTTATTTGTTTAGACATAAAAGACAAACTGAGCCTAGATCAGTACGTTTACTCTGACAGGTTAGATAAACATACATCTTCAATAAGCACGGAGACTTGTGCAGCATGTGACAAAGGATTAAAATGTGGTTTGTACCATTCTAGAACAGTTCAATATAGTGCTTCGTGTGGTTCTAGAACTGTACTGTACTGCGGTTTGTATGCTTCTAGGGTCAGTGGTGGGTTATGATTCTAAAATAATTCTGTACAGCAGTCTGCATAATTATAGAACAGTTCTGTATAGTGGTTTGTACGATTCTAGAACAGTTCTATATAGTGCTTTGTACGGTTCTAGAACTGTACTGCACTGCGGTTTGTATGCTTCTAGGGACAGTGGTTGGCAACGATTCTAGAATAACTCTGTACAGCAATTCGTATAATTATAGAACAGTTCTGTCAGTGGTTTGGAATATTCTAGAACAGTTCTCAGCTCTCATGCTTCTAGAGACAGGGGTTCATATAATTCCAGAACATCTCTGTATAGTGGACTGTATGATTCCAGAATGACTCTGTATAGTGCTTTGTATTGTTCTAGAATAGTTCTACATCGTGGTTTGTATGGTTCTCACATATTTCTGCACAGAAGTTCGTATAATTACAAAACAGTTCTGTACAGTGGTTTGGAGGATTCTAGAAGAGTTCCACACAGCGCTTTGTAGGATTTTAGAACTGTATTGGATTTTGCATGCTTCTAGAGGCAGGGGTTTGTATAATTCTAGAACATCTCTGTATAGTGGACTGTATCATTCCAGAATGACTCGGTGTGGTGCTTTTTATTGTTCTAGAAAAGTTCTACATAGTGGTTTGTATGGTTCTCACATATTTCTGTACAGAGTATAGTACAGAGTATGTTCGTATAACTACGAAACAGTTCTGTACAGTGGTTTGTATATCTATAGAACAGTGCTGCACAGTGGTTTGGAGGATTCTAGAACAGTTCTATACAGCGCTTTGTAGGATTTTAGAACTGTATTGGATTTTGCATGCTTCTAGAGGCAGGGGTTTGTTTAATTCTAGAACAATTCTATATAGTGGACTGTATGATTCCAGAATGGTTCTACACAGTGCATTGTATTATTCTAGAACAGTTCTATATAGTGCTTTGTATGGTTCTAGAACTAAACTGCACAGCAGTTTGTATGCTTCTACGGACAGCGGTTGGTTATGATTCTAGACTAATTCTGTCCAGTGATCTGTATGATTGTCACATGTTTCTGTACAGTGATTTGTATATTTCTAGAACAGTTCTGTACAGTGGTTCGGAGGATTCTAGTACAGCTGTTTGTACAATTCGGGAACAGTTCTATAAGCACTTTGTAAGATGCTGTAACTGCATTTCGCATGCTTCGAGAGACAGGGGTCTGTATGCTTCTAAAACAATTCTGTATAGCAGATTCCATGATTCCAGAAAGGTTCTATATAGTGCTTTGTACTATTATAGAACAGTTATATATAGTGGCTTGCATGAACCTAGAAAGGTTCTATAAAGTGATTCATATGGTTCTAGAACTGTATTGCATTGCAGTCGGCATGCTTCTAGAGACAGTGGTTTGTGTCTTCCTAGAACAGTTCTACATAGTAGTTGAATGATTCTAGAACAGAAGTGATTTTAGAACTGTATGGTACCATGCTGTGTTTCTGTATGCAGAGACAGAGTGGTTTATATGATTCTGGAACATTTCTGTACAGCAGTTTGTATAATTCTGTTTTATATATGTGTGTTTACATATAAAACATTCTGTATGTAATTCTAGAACAGTTCTGTACAGTTTCGCACAGTCGTGTGTGTGTGTAGTTCTGGAGATCTGTACCTTCTGCACATTCGCACTCGTAGCCGTTGGGCCGGTCAATACATTTGGCCCCATTCTGACACGGAGTGCTGGCACATTCATCAACATCCACCTGACACGTCTCTCCGCTGAAGCCTAATAAACATACACACAAATGCATGCACGTGTGAAAAAAGCGCAGTATGAACATGAATAAAGGCGTGTCAGTCTGCTGAGAGAACAACAGCAGCCATACTTTTTCTGGACAGTCTGCTGTAGATAGTCTATGGAGCATGTTAGCAACATCAGCCATCCATCCAAGAGATATATAAGCTCATAAATAAACAAATAAATAAGGCTCATTTTTGCGTGTTCCTACATTCTTTGTGCCTCATAGCAAAATTAAGCAAAACAGCAACAGGTGTGGTGGTATGCAGCCATGTAAATGTTGCCATGGTGACAGTATAACTGGCATATCAGTGGCGTTCCTGCCTACATGCAGGGCAGTGGTGTTATCCACTATGTAGTAATATGCTATAAATGCATTAACACATGGATGTTTTTCAAACATCTTTAATTTTGTACATGAATAGTTTATTGTTAACTTTATATCAAGGTTTATATCAAGATAATGGTTCAGGATAAAACATGGTGATTTATTAATTAGCTGATCACCAGCTAACATCTCCAAGTGATCTGCAGGGGACTATAAAACACCACAAAAAAGGAAGGTTAAGTACACATGATCTGCTTTGCTCTACTGCACCGCAATCATAAAGCTGGTGTTTTTAACTTCAGTGACAGATTAAAAAAAGAAGTGTGGTACAGAGACGTGTGCAAACGTTGCTCACCATGAGGGCATTCGCAGACGAAGCGGCTGACCTGGTCTATGCACTTGCCGTTGTTGAGGCATGGTGAACTGGCACATTCATTGACATCAGTCTCACAGTGGGAACCCTCAAAGCCTGGGGAAACAACAGGGTTGGGTGGTTAATGTGGATGTGAAACTGATATGAAATAATTTTCATAAGTGCATTAATTCCATCAGATTTTAATGTGCTCTATACACACGCAAGCGGTCATTATGTGCATCACAAGAAAAAAACGTTTATTGCAGAGACAGAACTTTGCACACTGTCAGCGTCCACTGGAGTTAAACTCAAGCAGACATGAAAACTCATGCAAAAAAAAAAAAAAACCTTTACTACTATATTACATATATACATGTATTACATATATACAGTGTGCCCATCAAGACGAGTTGTTGGGAACCAAAGATTGCGATGTAATTTTTAGGTCATCTCCATTTTTATATATGTCTCCATTTTTGTCATTTTTCAGATTTTGGCATAATTTAAAAGTACCTGCTGCTCTTTACATTGTGTGTAAATTTCATGATAAATGGACCAAAAGAAACGGCCCAAAATGACTTGGAAACAAGTCTGGTTCCATTGACTTACATTAAAAGTAAAGTACGTTTTTTCCTTCTCTTGTAAAGTTATTATTTTGGAGATACGAGGTTCCGACAGCAGCGATATATTTCAGAGGAAAACTAAAATGTGGCTGATTGCAATCAACACAAACCTTTTTTTCACCCACTACTTAAAAGCCATCAAAGAAAGAATTCTAAATATGAGAAAACGAAACCAAGTTCTCCACATGGCGGTAACACTTTACTGTAGGGTGCTGTTCATAAGGCTACATGACACCTACATAAGTACCACACAGAAATACTATAAATAAATGTTTATTCCAACAAGTGTCATTTGCTATAAAGGTTACATTTGCCAGTTCCAATCAAAGTTAGCTAAAGTAGCCTTTATGACAAATGACATCTACTGGAATAAGCATTTATAAACATTTGTGTAAGGTTTTGTCAGTGGTCATGGAAAGCTTAGGCAGGTGTCATGTAGCCTTATGAACAGTACCCTAGAGTAAAGTGTTACCAATATAGCTCTCTTCTCTTGTGTATCTCTGGTCTGATTGGCTGATTATTGAAAAAGAGCAATCATTAGCTGCAGCCCTAATATCCTCATTTATGTGAGTATAATATTATGATGGAAAATAATATGATGTGTGTGATTACCTGGCATGCAGATGCAGGTGTAGTCTCCTATCTGGTCCAGGCAGGTCGCGTCGTTCTGACAGGGGTTTGATCCACATTCGTTCACGTCCTGCTCGCACCGTGGGCCGGTGTACCCGCGCACACACTGACAGGTGAACGAGCCCTCCGTGTTCACACACAGACCGCCGTGCTCACACGGGTTCGGCCCTGACAAACACAAGAGAAAGTTAATCTCTAATGACGGCACTATTAATTTTATTATTATTTAAGGTATTATTTTTATTACATATATTAATTAAATGATAAATACAATACAATTGTTTTTTTATTTATAGTAAATTCTTGTCAACTTATTTACTTATTTTATTGGGAACGCAACAATATTGTAATTTTTCACGTATGTATCGGTCAATGCAGATACTGATGCATTTATATTTACATTTATGGCGTTTGGCAGACGCTCTTATCCAGAGCGACTTACACTTTGATCATTTTATACAGGTAGGTGAAGGTAGTGTTTGGAGTCTAGCCCAAGGACTCTTATTGGTATAGTGTAGGGTGCTTGCCCAGGTGGGGACTGAACCCCAGTCTACAGCATGGAAGGCAGAGGTGGCACTTCTACAGGGTTGTAAATGCAGTGAAATAAATAAAATAAAATAAAATAAATTAAATAAAATAAGTCAAATCCAGACATTTTAGTTCAGTAACCCAGTGAACATTCTGCTCTTTAAGAGTACAATAAATACACCTTCAAATATCAGCCTGAAATATCAGTCAAACCAATCGGTCTGATGCCAATATTTTTTTTTTATTGTAAATATTTGCAGATCGATGCCGATATGACTGCGATATTACCATGTATCCCTGCTATATACATTAACTCACAATGTTAAACAGCTTTTCTTACTCAGCTACAGTTCTTCATCATTCTGAACATTTGTGAAAGTTCTAATATAATTATCTGAAACCTGTGCAGTTGCAAGTGGCTTGGGATATTATTACTATACTTTTTTCTGCAACAAAACTGGTTATTTATCATTAAAAACTGTGAATCGAAGCGACTAAGCGGTCATTTTTGAACAGTAGTGTGGAAATATACTCCAGCAGCTCAGAGATAACGATGACTGCTGAGTGAGGTCTGTTTGCGTGATTGATTAGTGATTATGTGGAGATTATCATGGAAATCCCCAGCGGAGGAAGTCCGTCTCTCTGAATCTCTCACCTTCATCTCTGACTGAGAGTTTAACAGGAAGGACACAGATACCTCACAGTGCACAGAGCTTCAGATAAATACAGAGAAGAGGGAGGAGGGAGGGAGAGAGAGAGAGAGGGAAGGAGAGAGAGAGAGAGAGAGAGAGAGAAGGAGAGAGAGAGAGAGAGAGAAACAAGGAGAAAAGTGGAGAAAGTGAGACAATGAGAGAGAGAGAGAGACAAACAGCAGGAAAGGGAGAGAGTGAGAGAGGGAGGGAGAGGGGACAGGGAGGGAGGGAGGGAGGGAGGGAGACGAGAGAAAGAGAGAGAGGAGAGAGCAGGAGAGAGGGAGGAAGAACAGGAGAGAGGGAGGGAAGGAGAAAGCAGGAGAGAGGGAGGGAGGGAGAGAGCAGGAAAGAGGGAGGGAAGGAGGGAGGGAGGGAGAGAGGTGGAAAAGAGAGAGAAAAGAAGAGCGTGGAGAGAGGATGGAGAGGAAAGAACAAAGGAGAGCGAGAGAGAAAATAATAGCGAAAGAGAGAGATTGCTAATTTTATAATGCTTTGGAAAGTCTGTAACTAAATGTGACCAGACAAATAAAGCTTTTCAAATTTAGTTAAAGGAGAGAGAAAGAAAGGGAGAGAAAGAAAGGAAGAAAGAGAGACGGAGACTCTGCTCTCACCAATTGTGCACTCGTTGATGTCATCATTGCAGGTGGGGCCTTTGTAGCCGGAGGCACAGTTGCAGTTGAATTTGCCGTTGACGGGATTGGTGTCGCACTGCGATCCGGCCCTGCAGGGGTTACTAATGCACGCATCCTCAATGTGACACAGCAAACCTGCATCAGGAAAACACACACAAGACACTGAGTCACTCAGGGTCACAGTACAGTCTGAGATCACAGTCTCGGCTCTTTCGCATCCGGGGAAACATTAACGGAGAAAAAATAACCACTTAGTTAGATTTTAAACAGCCTGGAACACTAAAATGACTTAAGCTGTCGTAGGTAAGAAGCCTGTCTGGAATTCTAGCCAGTAAAACCAAGAACAGCCACTGGAACAGCGAGGGTATTAAAGGGGCATTCCACCTTAATTTCTAAATTTCTATGTAATTACATCATTAAGATGTGCCCAAAGCAATTTAGAGCAGTTTGATGTGAAACGCTCTGATCCAGGGACTCTTGTCAAGCCAGAACTGGTGAGAGGAACCAGACCATCTCTAAGTTTAATGACTCCAAAAGCTCCCTCACCGACAAGAAATGGTTACAAAAGCAATGCCCGATTCCTGAAACACTGGCTGTGTTTACATGTGAAGATTTTTGCCAATCCGATTAAATACATTCTGATTATAGATTAAGACTGAGGTGTTTATTCTCACTCTACTCAACAATCTGATGGAAAGTCTCCGTTTACATCCACACTACAAGTAACCTGATCCGAAATGACACGCATGCGTAGAGAACCACTTAGCATAGATGTTACTATGACAACGAGAGTCCAGTCAAAGTGAGACGAGCTTTCAGCTGGCGTGCTTGTGTTTTTAATTAAAAATCAAAATTATGGCAGAAATATGTACTTCTTAGGTACTTATTAAAGAAGGCTGAGAGGAAGACGTCGTGTTCCGAGACACATAAGCTGGACGTCCGTCCCACCGCCGTCTTTTAAAGATCAGAGCATAAACTTCGTCTCCTCTGCAGACTTTTTCTGCTCCGCCATGTTGAGCATTATAAACTTTCACTATGACGTGACAAACATGATCAGAACGTACTCAAACTTTTCGATAGGGAATGTAATCAGATACAGACGTTTACACGGATATTATTCTTCTATTTAACGGCGTATTTACAGGATTACCCACCTCGTTCAATTAGGTATTCCGAATGGCCTCAATCGGACTAGTCTATTCCGACTGAGGTGTGTACACGGACGTATTCTATTCAGAATAAGCTATTAGTCAGATTATTAAGAGGTTATTAGGCTGCATGTAAACGTGGCTACTGTTTTACAACAGTTTTGAGATAAAGCTTTGGCTTAAAATGTATTTTGGCAACGGATACACGCAGTAAAGTGCATTCAGGATGTTCTAAAGCACAACAGTGTTTAGAGAAAATGCATCATTATTGACATTTTACTAATAGGTCTGAGACAAGTTACTGGACTAAAATTTCTTTTTTAATTAATATTTTTTTTAAATACATTTTTTTTTAATTCAGTGGAATGCTCACTCACCAGTTTTCCCGAAAGGGCAGCTGCAAAAGAAGGAGGCGACGCGGTCCACACAGGTCGACCCAGCGGTGCAGGGTTTAGCTGCGCAGTCGTCAATGTTCTCGGAGCAGTCCAGCCCGCTCCAGCCATTCACGCATACACAAGTGTAGCTGCCATGCAGGTTACTGCAGGTTCCCCCGTTCTGACAGGTGTTTGGCTGCAGGCGACACTCGTCCACATCATCTGTGCAATACTGACCTGAGGGGAGCACAGGTGGGATGGAGGTTTAAAAACTGAGGGTCTTCTACGATGTGCTGACTTCACCATGATTTGGTGTGATTATTTTGGTATGAATCTGAATTATATTTATATATAATAATGCAATGAACACATAAAATAGACTAGAGGAACCAGGGGTGTCTGCTCCAAATGAACTGCCCTCCGGGGATTATATTTATAACTGAATCTGAACTTCAACTTGATCTTATCTGGAAAGGATCAATGTGGTTGCACCCATGATCAACTGTTTTAAGACTGAACTGATAAGAAAAGTGCAATCAGGTGTGATTCAGCTCGTCTGGAAAGAAAACATGCAGCCACACCAGCCTTTTGCGGATAAGACTGATCCCAGTAACAGAACATCAAAAACCAACAAAACAAAAAATACATTTAATAATAATAATAATAATAAAAATAACAACACATTTTTAATTTTACTTTATTATTATTATTTTTTTTTTATTTTATTGAAGATTTTTACAATTTAGTGCACACGTGTCAGGCTCCAGTCCGCGTGGGCCGTAACACTGCAGACTTCAGCACATTGCCTCATTAAACACACCTGATTCAGCTCATCAGCTCATTGGCAAAGTCTTTATGAACTGAATTCAGAGCGTTAGATGAGGGTAAACGTAAACATCCGCAGCACTTTGACCCGGTTGGTCCCCAGATTGACATGCCTGATCTAGTGGTTCCCAACTCTCCCCCTGGGGATCGACCTTCCTGCACGTTTTACGTCTAACCCGAAACTAACACACTTCCTACAGCTAATCAAGGATTTCTGAAGGCAAAAGTCAGATTCTGACTATGAGTCTGCAGGAAGTTAGATCTCCAGCAGTGGCCGGAGGTCATTTATTTTCAAGAAGTGTTAGTAATTTCCAGCGACAGGAGGCAGCGCGAACGTTGCTGACGCAAAGTGGGCGGAGTCAGCGACGCAACCAAGTTGATGGTTGATGAACGTTCAGACGAGCGCAGAGCAGGCTATAGTAAAACGTTTTTAATGTAGGGAGAATCCGTAATCGAAGTACAAGCAGTCGAGGGTCGGTACACACGAAATCAAAACAGAGTCCAAAAGGGTAAGGCGAAAGTCATAAACACAAAAACAGGCAGAATATCAAAAACCGGAAAGTCAATACACAAAAACAAGGCACAGGTAATGCACAGGGATGTAACAATACTTCGCAAAGACAAAACATGGTAGACAAACATTTATAGTCCTTGAAACAGATGTAAACAATCAATATTCAGGTGAGCGTGAACGTTGGTAGGCGGATGGCTGAGAGTTCCTGATCATGTGACCTCACAGTGAATTCTGGGAGTTGCAGTGAGGGATGTCGGTCTCTGCTACAGAAGGCATGACATTATGCAAATAAGGAGCGAAGCGTTGTGGTGATTACCAATAGGAATTGAACGCTGAGCAGCGTAGTACGCGCTTTATCTCTGTGAAACAGTAGGCTCTGTTTCGATTCCTAGCTAACTGTTCCTACTACAGGTGGAATAATGGCGGCAGTGCCTTCATCGCAAATAGACAATAATCGCAAAGACCAAATACTGTTTTCCTCACAAACTGACTGCACAGACACAGGGATTAAATAAAAATAAGCACACAAGCGATTTCTCACCAGGATTTTTAATTTTAGCAGGAACGCATCTGATTTGCGCTTAGCGTCAGTGAAGCCATGGCAACCAACGGTCAGTCTGAGTTCGCCCAAAGGCGATGAGCGATCAACGGCAGGGTAATTCTAACCTTCCAGCATTGACGCAGTTAAGGTGCCTCATTCAGATCAATATGACACAGTGCATCTATTCACTCCCCTCCTTCACTAAGACGCACACTGTTACAGTTTTACTGAAGGAGTATCGAACTGCAGCACTGTGGTTTTCATGGCTTACTTAGTCTGTTACTTTGAAAGTAGCCTAAGTTAACTGGCCCAGGAAAGAGCTAAAGCTCAAGCCCATGTGAGATTAAGGAAACATAAACGTGGTTGATGGGCTGGAAATTATGCACAGGCATGCTCAAGAAACAATGTTTACCAGAGTCATCTAGGCTAAGAGAAACTGGCTGCGGTCCTGAAGAGCCACAGAGCAGGGTTAGTATTGCCCCTGCTCAAACACGCTGGATTTAACTTATCTGCAAATAACCAAGCCCGTTATGACGAGCCGTACGAGGTGTGGAACAAGGGGAGCGCTGAACTAAACTGTGCAGTGGAGGGGGATAAACTCTGTTTTGCAGACATGAGCAAGTGAAAAGAACTATATGTGAAAACACCCTAAAATTGCCCATTTGCTTGAACTGGACACCTGGCATCTTTTTTTGTTTTGTTTTTGTGGCGCAGTCCCATAGATCACTGTTGGGGAGGAGGTGGGAGCACACATTATGTTGCAGTGCATGTTGGGTACTGTAGTGCAGTTCAAGCTGAAATGGGGTAATATTAATAGAAAATTACAATAATTTTGTTGGCCGAATAGGACTGTGGGCCTTGTGTTTCACACCTGTGTTTTACACTATAACATCCAGGAAGCAGTGACTTGTGAGCTGTGACATCCTCACTGAGTCATTTCAGGGGTACGGCAGAGAAAAAAGCCCCTCTAGCTCATGTTAAACACTGGAAACATTTCAGTACAGCATCAAAAGACAAAAATATCAAAATTAAATCAAAAAAACAAAACGTCAGCAGCAGATTAAAGAGACATGAAATATAAAAACAACGGAAATTCTTTAGCTCAGAATAAAGAAATAAACCTGAAAGCGTGTCGTTACACCTGTGCTGGTCATGAGCAACAGATAAACAACGCAGCCGATTTCAAGGTAACAAAATAAGCTGCAACAGCCCACTGTTTATACTCGGCTTTGTATTTAAAAGTAAGTATCTGATGAGAACAAATTCAGTTTTATTTCAGACAGGAAACCTTCACTGTACCTGCACACTGTAGGAGCTTACCTGTCCACTCAGGAGGACACTGGCAGTTATACGTGTTCACGCCATCCATACACGTTCCTCCATTCTGACAATTATGAACCAGACAGTCATCAATATTCACCTCGCAGTTAGTGCCATTAAAACCTGAGAGAGGGAGAGAGAGAGAGAGAGAGAGAGAGAGAGAGAGAGAGAGAGAGAAGAGAGAGAGCATGTGAGAGTGAGAGAGAGAGACAGAGAGAAAGTGAGCAAGAATGAGAGACAGGGTGAGAGGGAGAGAGAAGACACAGGGACAAAGGGAAAGAGAAAGAAGAGAGTGAATGAGAAAGAACAAGACAGCAAGAATGAAGAGAGTGTGAGAAAGAGGGAGCGAAAGAGAAGGGACACAGAGAGAGTGAGAAAGAAAGACATGAGAGTGAGAGAGAAAAAAGAGACAGGGTGAGAGAGGGAGAGTAAGAGGGAGAGAGAGAGTGAGAGAGGGAGAGAAAGAGAAGAGACACAAAGAGAGTGAGAGAAAGATGAGAGAGAGAGCATATGAGAGTGAGAGAGAGAGACAAAGGGAAAGTGAGCAAGAAAGAGAGACAGGGTGAGAGAGGGAGAGAAAGAGGGAGACAGAAGATACAGAGACAAAGGGAGAGAGAAAGAAGAGAGCGAATGAGAAAGAACAAGACAGCAAGAAAGAAGAGGGAGTGAGAAAGCGGGACAGAAAGAGAAGAGACACAAAGAGAGTGAGAGAAAGAAAGAAGAGAGAGCATATGAGATTGAGAGAGAGACAGAGAGAGAGACAGGGTAGAGAGGGAGAGAGAAGAAGACAGATAAAGAAAGTGGGAGAGAAAGAAGAGAGTGCATGAGGAAGAAAAAGACAGAGCAAGGAAGAGAGTGCAAGAGAGAGAAAGAAGAGAGAGAGCATATGAATGTGAGAGAGACAGAAAGCGAGAAAGAAAGAGAAACAGAATGAGAAGAAGACACATACAAACAAAGTGTGAGAGAAAGAAGAGAGTGAATGAGAACGAAAGAGACCAAGAAAGAAGAGAGTGAGAGAAAGAGGGAGAGACAAAGAGAGTGAGAGAGAGAGAGACAGACAGAAAGTGAGAAAAAAGAGAGATAGGGCGAGAGAGGAAGAAAGAAGAGAGTGAGACAAAGAGAGAGAAGGAACAGATCAATTACTATTCATTCATTAAAAATTACCATAAACAATAATAATTAATATAACTTGTTGTTTTGTTGTTGTTGTTCTGTTATTACTGTAATTATTAGAAAGAAATATTTATTTTATTATTTACTTAAACACAAATCCCTTAATCAGCTCCTGCTTTTCCACAACTCTATCCTTTCCTCTCTCCAACACAGAGACTGTAATGTGCAGCGTATCACGTTATTAAAAAGTAATCAGTGTCGTTTTTAATCACTGCAGCGCTCTGCTTTCCCACGGATCGTATTCTGGCCTCCGGGGCAGACGCTGGTCACGGCTTGCTGCGGTGCCGTGCCAACACACGCCCCTTTGAAGACGAAACTCAGAAGAGGAATTTCAACAGTTCCTGTATTTTAGCTCCAAAACGTAAAAAGTGACCCAGTCAGCACGAGAGCGGGAGATACAGGAGTGACGTCACGCGGCCACTTACAGAATCTGGGCAATGCTGGGATTTCTCGCTGTTCCTGACAGCGGTGCCAATCGTAACCTTTACACGGGGGTTTCAGAGTGACGGGATGCGTTTCCCTGATCTACTAACGCTGGGAGGTTCAGCACAGACAGGCCTGAACACAAGAAAGAACAATAAGTTTTCTCTGTTTTACTCATATTGGTTTCATTTCTGCAATTTCAAAACAAGCTTAAAGTTTAAGACTGAAGCAGACTCTTCCAGTCAATCATACTCGAACAGATTGAGCTTCACTGTTCACAAACATCCACAGTAAAAGCCCTTATATAATCACATAAACAACTGACACTCACGTTCAGTTCACTCTGGGCCTCTTCCCAGATCCACATTAAGCTTAAGTCTGGACTGAAAAGGCTTTCCCGACACTGAATCACACTTAGTATTATAATTTAGTCCAAGATTAGGTTTAATCTATATCCAGGACACTGGCTCTTTGTGCGTTTAATCCTCAACTGACATTAATCCCAGCAAAAATCCCCTTTTATGAGTTGGTTCCAAATAGATTATAAATACAATAACAATTCAAATGACACGATTACACTTTATCTAAACTCTCTTTCTTCTTTTAATATATATATGATGTCATTTTGGGCTGTTTTATTTAGTCCATTCTTCATGAAATTACACATATATATATATATATATATATATATATAATTTTACTCTTTTTTTTAGTTCTTTTTGCACTTAACATTTAGAATCTAGTTGGCAAAATATCAAGTCTCACTGCATTTACTAAAGGATGTTTAGTCTAAATTACCGGTTCCGACTACCCAAATCACTCCAGTTCAAATTATGGCTGCCCAGACTAAAAAACTCTTTAGTCCAAATTACAGCTGTCCCAACTAAACAAAATCTAGTTTTCACTCCAAATTATAACTGTCTAAACTAAAAAAAACACTCTTTAGTCCAAATAATAGTGGTCCCAACCACAAAAATCACTCTTTAGTCCAAATTATTGCTACCATGACTACAAAAATCACTGTGTAGTCCACGTTACTGTGTATTCTCAAGTAAAAAAAAAACAACTACACCAAATTATACATGCCCAAACTAAAAAAACCCTCTTTAGTCCAAGTCATGTTCCAACCACAAGTCACTCTTTAGGCCAAATTACTGCTGTCTTGACAACAAAAATCACTCTTTAATCCAGGGTATAGCTGTCCCAACCATAAAAGTCACTCTTTAGGCCAAATTATTGCTGTCTTGACTACAAAAACCACAAAAAAGTTAGAACTGTCCCAACTGTAAAAAAATACTCCTTACTCCAAATTACAGCTGTCCAAACTACAAAAAAGCACTCTTTTACTCCAAATTATAGCTGTCCCAACTACAAATCACTCTTTAGTCCAAGTTATAGCTGTCCCAACCACAAAAGTCAGTCTTTAGTCCAAATAATTGCTGTCTTGACTACAAAAATCACTCTTTAGTCCAAATTACACCTGGCCCAACTACAAAAAAGTTTGACGACATTGCCTAGCCCTTCCTACCCTCACCTCTCTACCTCATTTCCCTTCTTTTCTCACTAGCCTCCAACTTCCCTCCCTTCCTCTGTCTCAGGGATGTCCCCTGATGTGTGGTTCTGAACAGGAACTGGTTATAAATGAGTAGAAACCAGAGTACTAATAAGGCTGAAGTAAGGGGAGGGGGCTCAGTCTGAGTTTCTTTTTACGCTAAACAGGAAGATGAACTAATACTGCTGGAATAATTAGTGTGCCTCAAAGTACTTATGAGATGAAAAGTGCCTGATCAGCACGCAGTGTTTCCATCTGTAGCCTGAAAGCTATTCTAACGTTAGCTCAGCGAGGGGCTGCAGACCTACAATGGCTGTGTTTACATGCAAAGATGTTTGCCAATCTGATTAAACATATTCTGGTTGTAGATTAAGACTGAGGTGTTTATATGCTCACTCTACTCAACAATCTGATGAAAATCTCCATTTGCATCCAAGTAATCCGAGAGTCCAGTCAGAGTGAGACGAGCAGCAGTGAGCAGCGCTTGTGTTTTGAATTGCTTTAAAATGATGTCAGACTCAGGAAAACGTCCTTCACATGTCCTTATTAAAGAAGGCCGAGAGGAAGACGTCATGTTCTGAGACACATAAGCTGGACGTCCGTCCCACCGCCGTCTTTTAAAGATCAGAGCATAAACTTCGTCTCCTCTGCAGACCAGTTTCCGCTCCGCCATGCTGAACGGTATAAACTTTCACTATGACGTGACGAACATGATCAGAACGGACTTAAACTTTCCGATAGGGAACGTAATCAGATACAGGCGTTTACACGGATATTATTCTTCTATTTAACAGATTATTTACAGGATTAACCACCTCGTTCAATTGGACAGAAATGGTATTCTGAATGGCCTCAATCATACTAGTCTATTCCGAATGAGGTGTACACACATTGGACGCATCCTATTCCGATTAAGCTATTAGTCGGATTACTAACGGATTATTAAGATGCATGTAAACGTGGCTGGTGCCACACACACCACAACTTACCGGTACTCAAATGTAGATCATAAAAACTTTTATTTGACATTCATCATTTTGAAATACTGTCATAATTCTGAAATACGGCAGTATATCTGTGGTATCATGGCATCACACCACCTGCAGCAATAACCGATACGCAGATGATAGCCAATAAGAGTGGTAGTCTCATTTTAATCCTATTGACACCTATCTCTCACTTCTCCTCTCCACAGACAGAGCTCACCTGGTAGGCAGTGGCACCAGTATGTGGTGTCTGAGGTCTGTCTGCAGGTTCCTCCATTCATGCAGGGTGATGGAGAGCAGGGCACGTATGGGCTCTCGCAGTTTCGCCCCGTAAAGCCCGGCGCGCAGCTGCACTGGTATGACCCCGGCACGTTCACGCACTGCCCGTCGTTCCGGCAAATCGTCGGGTTCTCCTCACATTCGTCTGTGTCGTTAAGGCAGCGGTCTCCATGGTAACCTGGTGGACAGGAGCAGGAGAACTTTCCAGCAGGGAGTGCGGTGCAGGTGCCTCTGTTAGCACACGGAGAGGATACACAACTGTCCTCATTCTCACATCGTGAACCTAAGAGAGAGAGAGTAAGAGAGAGAGAGTTAGAGAGAGAGTAAGAGAGAGAGAGAGAGAGAGAGAGACAAAGAGAGAGAGAGAGATGCTAATTATTTCATGTGGAAACACAACACAGTATCGTGCAAAGGTCTTGGACACCTACGCAGACTGTTCAAGACCATTTATCTGGGTAATAAATGGGATATTTGCCAGTAAACACATAACACTAAAATGCAAAAGTTATTTTCATAAAAGTAAACTTGATGATGTTCTCCTTGATGTCGAGAGAGAGGGAAGGAAGAGAGAGAGAAAGAAAGGGAGAAAGAGAGGGGACGAGAGAGAGGGAGAGTGAGGGAGGGAGAAAGAGAGGGAACGACAGATACTGAAGGAGGGAGAAGCAAGAGAGGGGGAGGAAGAGAGGGAAAGGAATAGAGGGAGAGAGAGAGAGAGAGACAGAGACAGAGAGAGAGGGAAGAAGGGGGATAGAAGGAGGGAGGGGGTTAGAAGGAGGGAGGGAGGGATGGGGATAGAATGAGGAAGGTTTAGAGGGGTGGCAGGAGGGAGGGAGGGGATAGAGAGAGAGAGAGAGAGAGAGAGAGAGAGAGAGAGAGAGGTGGGGGCTATAGTACCTGTCCAGCCGGGGGCGCAGCGGCAGGCGTATCGGTCGCGCGGCAGGACAGTGCAGGTGCCTCCGTTGGTGCAGGGGTTGTTGGGGTAGCAGGTGGAGTTTATCTGGGTTCCACAGCGCAGCCCGTTAAAGCCCAGAGGACACACACAGCTCGCTCGCTCCTGCCCCTCGATCCTGTTCACTGTGCAGTTCCCTCCGTTCAGACAGTGATGCGGCCCACACAGGTGACAGTATTCACCCAGGTAACCTGGAGCACACCTGTACACACAAACACACACATAATCTGAGTCTGCGCTCCTCACACACGACTCGATTCTCTCTCTAACTGTCGACTCAGACTGACCCAAAACTCTGCAGACTACAGCCGACCAGCTCAGACTCGGCCAGTCTGAGAATCTGGGCTAAAATCAGGGTAAAAGTCATGTAGTGTTATCCCGGCTTAAGCAGCTGCTTGGCCGTTGCTATGGAATCCCGGGTGGTTGCTAAGGTGTTGCCTGGCTGTTGCTATGGAATCCCAGGTGGTTGCTAAGGTGTTGCCTGGCTGTTATGGAATCCCAGGTGGTTGCTGAAGAGCTGCTTTAAAAGAATAATATTTGATCGAACGCTGTGATCAGAACATGTGATCAGTCCTGAAAACACAAGCATACTACTCCCATATAAGCTCTACTATTCCTGGATAGTTTTGTGGTTCTAGCTTGAAAATTGCGAGCTGTGAAAACGAAAAAACAAAGGAAAAAAGTGGAACAACGAGGAACAGTAACTTGGCTTTTGCCTTCTAATTTATTTCCTTATACTGTGTTACAGTCTGAAAACATCAAATTGAATCGTGTCAATATCGTCCAGCACTAAGAAGCGCATACTTCACAAGGGTAAAGCTGGGTTCTGCAACTGGGACATAGGTTTGAATCCTAGCGATGCCACAGCTGCACATGAGCAGAATCAAAGGAGAACTGCCCTCAACTAGTTCCCTTCTGCCTTTGACACAGTGATGCTGGCCAAAATGAAAGTAACGCCTAGGTCACAAAAGGAGAACTGAAAGTTAGCATCCAGGCCCTATCAGCTGTGCTTTGGTGCTGCATCGGCTTTCATGTTGGTAGCTACTATGCACGAACAAAGTGTTACAAATTTAACTACACAGCGCATCTCTGAGGCTTCGACCACATAACCAGGCAAAAGGGATGCAAATTTGATATATATATTTGCCTTAATGTGACACAGATCTGATGTTTCCAGAGACACAAATCTGACCTTTTCAAACGAGATCTAAGGCATTTTCATATGTGGTCCTGGATCGGATGTGTATTCGTGACCAGCTCACTTGGGGTAGCCTAGTGGTAGGAGAAGTGAGCCATTAACCGGAAGGCTGTGGGTTCAAATCTCGTGACTAGCTAGGTATACCTGGTTGGGCCCTTGTGCAAGGCACTCAACCCCCCACTGCCCCAGTGCGTGTGCCATCATTCAGCGTTAACGTGGCAGCAGCGCCAAACCTGAAGCCAGTAAACGGCGGAAAAGCACCATAACTGACCCTTTTTACCTTCGTCTAGCTCTGATAATGAACAGCTGCAAGGTTTTTAGAGCTAATAATCTTTACAGTGAAGGCTTGTTCTGCTGGTTAGTTTGTCTGCTGATCATGATGCACATGACTCATTCACGTGAGACTACTTATTAGGATGTGGATCATTTCAGGACGCAGGTTAATTCAGGTAAAAATAAAATAATCCTCCTTTACAGTAAAATAAAGCTCTGCTGATCGTTCAACACAGTTTAACAGTAAATGGTCTTAAATGCTGGAGTTAATGTAGAACTGCTAATTCACCCTTTAACCTTGAAGATCAGCGCAGACTGATGGTCACCATAGCAATGCAGACAACAATCCTGCCTAGCTAGTAGCTAACGAAACGGCAAAGAGAAAGATTTAAGATGAACATCGATAATTTGGAGATGAATGGACTTATTTGTGTTTATAATCACTCCAGCTGGTTTCCTGATACGTTTAATCTGCAACGTGAAACTGAAAAATACTAAAAAGTCACGAAGCTGAATTCGCTTCTCATTCGCCAGCTTCTTGTTCAAATTTTCCCGTTCCACCTTAAATGGTAGAGCAGTTACATTCTTCATTTAAGGTGGAACAAGAAAATTCGAACGAGAAGCTGGCGAATGAGAAGCGAATTCAGCCTCGTAAAATATCAAACGTTGACACATTTTACAAGAAACTGCTCTACTTTTGAAAAAGTTTCCTGCCGGAGATGCGAGAAAAGCAGCTATAGCTGAGCTAAAGCTTAAAGCAGAGCAAAGTAAGTGTTTTTTGTTTATAATTTTTAGTCTATACTAGTACATCAGCATATACTGAGACATGTTTACAGCCAAGATGGTAAAATGGACATAAAATGCTGTGGCTCCCAAGGTGGTTTGATTTTTGCGGTAAACACAAAACGGCTCTTCTTAACATGTGGGTTGTGACCCCTAACCTACACTAATGTGAATCACCATGTTAAGAAGATCAAACACAGCCTGATATACCTTGTACTAAAGTAAAAGCGCACTGGTGAACCAATAAAAGGGGATGATGAAAGGATGGTCTACAGATATGACCAATATCACTTACTTTTATTGGTCAGGATGCTTACAGCACACAGAATAACACTGACTGACAGCTCAGTCGCCTACTGCAGCCTTCTTCGACACCACAATAAGTGGAGCACAAATCACTTCCACTTTATCTGGTTTTAAATCTCTAAATGGCTTTAAAGCACCTGAGTCCCTTCACTGACTGTTTGCCTATATGTTCCAACACATGATTTCAGATCTGCAGATTCTAAGCAAATTACAGAAAATGTGGATGTTTGCATAGAAGTGCTTGGATGATGACGGTGCTTTGTGCTCCTTCTTGCATAATAATGGTTGAAAACACAATAAAGCACTTCTACATTGGTATCTTGTCTTGAGCCGCAGTTTCATGTTGATATGTAGGTCTACATCGTAGTGCATCAAATGCACAAATGCATAAAATGGCAAAGAATTAAATGATTATTTGCTATTTATAGATTTAGCAACTGTCTCAGTAGAAACTGGTGATGAAAATCTGAGACAGAGTTCATCTTATTTTCATGTTCAATCTTTGGAAACCTGATACAAGTTAAGGTTCATGAGAACTTTGGCACTGAGAATAATATTAGTAAATTACTGTGAGTATTAAATACACCGATCAGGCATAACATTATGACCACCTCCTCGTTTCAACGCTCACTGTCCATTTTATCAGCTCCACTTACTATATAGGTGCACTTTGTAGTTCTACAGTTACAGACTGTAGTCCATCTGTTTCTCTGCATACTTTGTTAGCCCCCTTTTACCCTCTTCTTCAGTGGTCAGGACCCCCATGGACCCTCACAGAGCAGGTACTATTTGGGTGGTGGATCATTCTCAGCACTGCAGTAACACTGACGTGGTGGTGGTGTGTTAGTGTGTGTTGCGCTGGACTGAGTGGATCAGACACAGCAGTGCTGCTGGAGTTTTTAAACACTGTGTCCACTCACTGTCCACTCTATTAGACACACCTGCGTTGTTGGTCCACCCTGTAGATGTAAAGCCAGAGATGATAGCTCATGCTTGCTGTACAGTATGAGCTAATTATCCTCTAGTCCATAATTGGTGGTCACAGGACGCTGTTGGCTGGATATTTTTGGTTGGTGGACTATTCTCAGTCCAGCAGTGACACTGAGGTGTATAAAAGCTCCAGCAGCACTGCTGTGTCTGATTGGTGTATACTGTCCACTCGTACCAATGCAGCAAAACGTATTAATTTTTAAATGGAAAAATAAATCTTTATTTAGGGTCAAATGCGATTAATCATGATTACTTACACAATTAAGCAAAATTAATACTTTTAATTGTTGTCAGTCCTAAGTCACTTTCATTATTATCATTAATATAGCATTAATAAACTGCACTGCTTTATAAATGAAGCAATACTAAGATTAATCCTGATTAACTACACAGTATGTGATTAATCACAATTAATAATTTTACTGTTTGATAGCACTAATTAATTGTCATTCATGTAAATATACATTTTTATGATCAATCGTTAACCACATTGTCAGAATGGCGGCAGATCTAAAGAGAAGTGTGCAGCGTCTGGAGCAGCACAGGAAGAGCTGGGAGGGTGGAAAGTGTTTCGGAGGTCAATAAAGCAGAAGGAAGCTCAATGTGTGTGTGTGTGTTTGCATACACATGTTTGTGTGTGTGAGTGTGCTGTTGTATTTGTGTGAAAACGTATATGTGCTTATGAATTTGCATACGGCTCATTTCTGTTTACGCACTTCTGTCACATGTTCATATGCGTGTTTGCATGTATGTGTAAATGAGTTTGTTTTCAAACATTTTAAGTACAAAAATGTTCTGACTTTCAGAAAAACAGTTCTTACACAATAGATAAGGCCACACAATGGTCAGCATAAAATGACAGACAATTCAATAATTAATTGCCATTAACAACAATATAAACAGCAATAAGAGCAATTTGCTATTAGGCTTAAGGTTGCTTAGGTTTAGAACGTTCTTGCTACATACAGACACTTACATATACACAGCCGCATGAAAGAAAGTGTGCCCTTGGTTAAATGACATGTTTTGCTGAATTTCCAAGTGAACGTAAGTTAACACATCCTCTACAGTGAACACACTTCTGCATTGTTATTGTTATTGTTTATTTGCTGGCTTTAACATACTGGAAAAAACTAATAAAATGTAAAAAGTGTCCGTGCAAAAGCTGTGACTCATTTTGTATTTGATGTTTTTTTTTTTTCCTCAATTTGTTAAAATTAAAAATAATGATGAGTGCTTTCCTCCGAGCGCGTTCGGCTGTCCAGTGACGTTGCGTGAGCGGCAGTTCAAAAAGACGCGGTGGCGCTTCACAGGTCTCGGAGGAAGCCTGTGTTAGCCTTCACCCTCCTAGCGCTGATAGCATCGTGTGACTGGGGGAGACCTAACTAGCGGGTGGAACTGGAGACGACTAAATTGGGGGGGAAATAAATAAATAAATAAATAAATAAATAAATAAGAATGGGAAAGTAGGATATATTGTTAGATGTAGATACTAGGGATGGCTATTGCAGTCAAATTTAATATAGAATTAGTAAGACATTATCTGAAAAATAATAATAGAAAAACATGAATCTTAAGGCTACAGGCTACACAGCCACTCAGCATCTTACATTTACTTATACTACACTACATTAGACCCAGAGCACAAATCA